ATGTTTTTTTTTTTTTTAAACAAAATTTTGCAAGGGTTCCATGGGAAAAACCCCAACGCCAACCTTTTCACCCTGGTTTTTGTTTTTTTTTTCCCTTCCCCCCCCCCCCCCCCCCCCCCTTTTTTTTTTTCGGAGACCAGGCACTCATGTCGACCCGGTAATAAGTCCCTATGGATTGGATTCTACCAAGAGGGCAACAGCTATGGCACCAATGCTGGTCTTGGCTTCGAGAAGGAAATCTACTCTATCTACGAATATTTCAATTCGGATCAGTACTTGGACAATCCAATCATCTACGACGGAGTGACGAATAAGACATCGACCTTGAACAGCACGTCGCGGCCTTTTGTGCACTACTTCAATACCACCGGCATCATGCAGCACAACGACATCGGGCCTTCATACCATCTAACTGATGTCGGCGCGATTAAAATTGCGAGCCACCTAATACAATACATCAGGATAAAATTCGGTTGGGATCTCTTTGCCACTGGACCCGAGTATGTGATGAGATAATCACTGATTCGCTTTTTAGGATTGCGCTGACAGACATTTTAGGGTGCAGCACGACACAGTCTACTGGAACGACGAAGTAAACTACTAAGTAAGTAGTGGCAGTCGCAGTATGACACGCAGGACGATATCATGTCATGGAATAATACAATGCAACGACGCTGTGTGTAATTAGGGGAAATCAAGATGGTTACTTCACACTACTTCCTATAGATGCTCTCTTACCTTGATTCCTGTGTCTCATTCATGGATTGACAGTGCCCCTCAAGGCCAATATGAGAAGCCACGGCAAAGCATGATGTCAGACGGGGGTGGCATTGGTTACATCTTTAGGAATAGGTAGAGGGTTGTGTGTGCTGTCTATGTGTAGAGGCGTCTGGTTTGCCAAGCTGCAGGCAATCTGTCGGCCCTTTTCACAGCGGCCCAATGATAAGCTATGACTAAAGACCTGCAGTCCAGCTTGCCCACTGATGCAACTGCAGGCAGGGGGGAACAACAATTTTTGACGATCAGTGGCTAAATATAATTGCGAACATTAGACCGTCTTACGCTTCAGATGAGGGTCGATTTACCTGCTTCGGAGATAAGGGGGGGCACAGCCTACCTGCAGCTCACAGAGTTAATTATAGCCATGCCAGCGCTAGGTAATTACTTAAAGGTCAAGTTCCATTCAGCATTGCGAGATCAGGCTGGTCTCCCAAGACGCCACTAGCTTAATGATCGATATAATTACTGATTAACTAAGGAGAGCACACAATCACTCTCCGTCGACATACGCTGCTTGCAAGGAACCTACAACCTACCCGCATTGAAAAATGTCAGCAATCGAGCACCTCCCCGCAGCAGATACTGAGCGAGCCGGCAAGGGCGAGAAGTTTGCAGATCAGCGCAGAATATGTGGACTCACGCGCAAGGCCTTTTTCGTCGCCCTTGTTGTGGCCCTGGTAATTATTGCAGCCGCCATAGGAGGCGGAGTAGGGGGGGGCATCTCTGCAAGAAATCGAGAGAAATCCAGCAGCTCACCGACCAGGTAAAGACAGTCCTTCATCTGTAATTAGTGCCCCTTCGTCTTCTTGAGTGTTGAACCTTTCAAACTCCTGCGCCTAGTGTCACGCCAACCCAGACCTCGGCATCGTCGTCGTCAGCAATTTCGTCCACCACGGCCACAACCACCAGCTCCTCTTCCAGCGCCACTCCGAGCGAGACAACTCTCAACAACATGACAAGCCCCTACGCATTCGCCTTCCAAGGGTTCTCAGAGCCGAACTACATGGGCAAGGCGTCGGCAATCATCCGCGAAAAAGGCTTTTACGACATTGGGGTGAACGCTATCAGCTACGTCTGGCAGACCAACAACACACAATGCTGCGTCACCTTCTGCGCCGACGAGCACGAGTCCACGGGATACCGATGCGAGCCTCGCAAGCGCGCCGAGGCGTCCAGCGCGTTCCCGCGCGTGCATATTTGGTGCAGGGGTGATGAGGGCCAGGCGAATGCTAATGCCACGTGTTCGTGATTTGATGATGATAGAAAACTGGGAGAACCGTGAAACGGGAAAGAAAGAAGCGGGGGGTTAGGGTGGGGGAAGAGAGCGGGGGGAGAGAGGGCGGGGTTTGGTAGGTACCTAGGTATTAAAGTGGTGGCCAGTGTGCTTCTTATTGGTTTCTGTCAGATTCAAGGTCAGGTGACCGGCCTAATTGAGGTCCGAATGTAATTGCTTCTTCCACTTCATGATTGGGTATCTAAAGAGGGGTCATTTTGGCTGTATTTATGGGGGTCTACGGATCCCCCAGCATGACTGGGGACCTGCGGGGACACACACCTTTGAATACAACTTGGACCCACTCAATTCAACAGTTTCACACGGTCTTGCCACCCAACATGACATCACTCCCACCATGCCGAAGGCGAATAAGTTGGCAGCAGCGACGATGTGCAATCCATTGGAAGTAGTAACTCTTCTAGAATCTAATCAAGCAACATGCCCACCATGTCTGTTGAGACAGCCCTCTACGATCACCTGTGCATCGCGTGCGATGCCACCGTGGACGATGTCAAACGCTCGTACAGGTGAGATGAGCGAAATCCTGGCCACCTCGGGCCATTTGTGCTGGAAGTTATTATACAGTAATTACTGATATATGGTGCCTTTTGATGCTGACTCCTTTTCAGGAAAGCAGCCTTGAAATGGCACCCAGATAGGAATAAAGACAACCCCCGCGCCGCCGAGAAATTCAAGCAGTGTTCGCAGGCGTACGAGATACTCTCAGACCCCCAAAAACGTGCCATCTACGATGAGGCCGGGCTCGAAGGCGTTCTCAAGGGTGCCAGCACAAACAGCCAATCTGTGTACAAAAGAAACACATACAGCCGGTCTATGCGCACGGCAGATGCGGACGGCTTCCGTGGATCCCGTGAGCGGCAGACGGGGGCCACCTCTTCAAGTTTCCGGTTTCAAGCAAGCTTTTCGTTCGGCCTTGGCAGTGGCTGGTCGTTTGGCTTTGGCAGCAGCAGCGGCAGCGTGAGCGGCACCGGCGGCGATAACAACAGAGGGACATCTCACGCTAGCTCCTCGAACAACGGCTTCGAGGACTCCTGAGGCGGTGGAACTAGGGTTCCCGGCTGGCTGGCTGGACGATCTAAATTAACACCCACTCAATGCCTCAATGCCCAAGCATCCATGTACCAAGATCTCTCCACGAAACCCGCAGGCCGCGAGGGCAAAACTCGAGTTGTCGTGTCGGGAATGTCCACTAGGCAGAAGACGGGGTTGTCCATTAGTGGTTTCTTTGATGGCGGCAGTCGAGTCGAGTCATATTTTCCCACCCACCGGGAAAGGGGTGGTTGAACAGTACAGTTCAGTACCTTCCATGGCGCGGATAAAATCCCGACGCCAAAGATAATTACAAGCAACTGCAAGGCCGGGTGTCGCTGAAGCAAAGCTCCTTGAGCCAAAGAACTAGCCATGTGCATTTGACACACCTGTTACACCTTCAGCGCATCATCATCAACTTTATTCCGTCCTCGGCCTTCTCGGTACGACTCATCGTCTTGTACGACCATAACTTCAGTTGCCACGACAATACTACTGTCTCCCATAATCTCTTCCTGAGACTCATGTAGTGTACTGTCTCGTACATCTCCTGGGGCTGCCGAGCTTCTGCCTCTGATGTCCCTCAACCCCAAAGCCGAATCCCCCGGGGAGCGGTTGGTTTTCTCGCCCCGCCTACCCAGGATCTTCAGCTTGGAGGTGCATATCGACGATCCTCCGCTCTCGTGCGCCACCCCGCTACTCGCCTCGTCGACGTCGGACAGGTCGCCTTGAAAGCCGTAAGAGAGCCTCAGCTTGGAGAAGAGACCGGGAAACCATCTTCGAGCTAGGGGCCAGAGGGCCGGCCCGGAGGCGGCAATGATGGCGAGGTTGGTCTCGATGGACGAGGTAATGTATCCGATGGAGAAGGTCGGGTCATCTTCCAACGTCGAGAAGAACCACTGATGGAGGTAGAAGAGCCTGATGCCGCTGACAATGACGACGCTGGGGGTTATCGGGCAACGAGGTTAGCGGGCGCGAATGGGACGTCGGGAAACCCAGGAGGAAAGACTTAAAGGGGGGAAGGTAACCCTCACATGAACCCCAACAGGAAAACGAAAAGTACTGCCGTCTTTACTCTCTTGGTCATTCTCAGCCCAAGGAAGATCCAGATCGGCAAACTGAGAATCAATAGGTCCGCGACGATGTTCAACGCAGTTAGTGTGAGAGAGAGGGCAATCCCGTTGACGCATTTCCCCCGGACAAGGAGATCCAGATTCCAGTTGGCCTCGATTGGGACGCAGCCGAACATGACGGAGAAGAAGGCCGCGATCATGAGGCCCAGGTTGAAACATCCGAAACCCCAGACTAGGACTCTGACGTTGTCCTTGGTCCGTCCAAGCCGTAGGAGGAAGATGAGGACAGAGGTCCTGACCATGGCGAGAATGGGATTGTAGATTAGGCCCACAGTGTAGTTCCATTTCATGCCAGGGGTCGGGTCATGCGGAGGGATATCGTAGATGTGAATGCCGAGATAGTTGTATTTCATGCCTGTACGTTATCTGCGTCGGTTCCTTGGACGGAGGAAGATATCAGGTAATTATGCTTACATTCTATAGCAGCGACTGCGTGCGCCAGATTCAGAGCCTTTCTCGTCGCAAAGCGTCAGCTCAGTCCAAAGCCAAGGGATGTGCACCAAAACTCGCACCATTGCAGCGCATATCCACCCATCATCTGCGCGAAAACAACCGCCGCGAGTGTTAGTTAAGAACTGGTCAGTCATAGATAATCGTGGATATGAAAACCTACCCCAACCAAAATTCATCATCGTCCTCCGCACGTGGATACGCAACACGACCACAATAAGAGCGAGGGTCGGGCAGATGACCTCGATGGCAATCCCCAATTTCTGTAACCAGCTGCTTCTATCTGGAACATCTGTGGGGAACTGTATCGCCGGCGAGCCATCTTGAATCTGTGGAGCCATTACTGGCTGGAAGCCCCAGCTCCAACATAGGCAGAGGCGAACAGAACGCGTCACAATGACAGTGAGGAAGAGGTGTGATCGAAGTTGGAAGCGCGTTGGATCGGTGCGACAATAGGAGAACCCGCCAAGAATCCAGGCCTTTTTAGTAGTGGCCCAGCCCCGAACTACTTTCCCCAGAAACCGAACAGGGCGCCATGTGGAGTCCCTCCGGCGTCGTGCCATTGGCGCTGAAGAACTCGGTCAGCGGCGGGTCTCACTTCCCCCAAGTCACTGCGGAGTACGCCGTGCCAATCAAAATCCAGCCACGTCCTGCCCTGGGTCAAACCCATGGCTGCCCCTCGCGGCACTTTCCGCTAGTGGGACATTGGAGCCAGGATTGTTCAGGGGTATACAGTTCCTCTCATCATCATAATTACAACGCTAACTTCTATGTGATCTGCAAGATCGTCAGTCACTAGGTAGGTTCCGGGTTGCTAACTGGCAGGGAGAAGCGGTGAAATGGCGACGTGACATCAGTAAGAATTCGTTGTCGTGCATCTTTGCACCATGAGTCTCGTCTTGTTGCTTGCTTGTTGGAGCCATCGCCTGCCTACCTTAATTACCTAGTCAGTTACTTGTGCTGCCTGATTACAGGCGAATCGGGAGCTTTGCACGGGCGTATCTCTCTTCCTCAGTTCTCTCCTAGGAATATTGACAAGCAAATCGCAGAGACTTGTCTGCGCTGCCTCGGACGGAAAGAAGTGCAGAACATACGGAAACTTGTAGCTACTATGGTATATTGTCATCCGAGCGATATGGCGAGGGCTTGTGCGTTGATGCTTCCACGGACTAGTCTTGCCGACTCCATGGTTTGGTTTTACGCCAAGAACTACACTTCTGGCGGTACAAACGCAACGAGGGAGCAGTGGATGGCCTGCTTCTGAAACTGCTTCTAGAACTGAGGGGCCATATACACGTGGAGTGAAACACACTGCGTCGCTTCAAACGCATTCACGGGAATCCACACGAGCTGGTTACTTCTCATGGGACCAGAACCCTTGATTGTGCATCACATCGAAGTCGACAAAAGCGAGCCATCCTACGACGGAAACACTTATTGGATACCATCACCAAAGCTGTTCACAATGGCAACTAAGAATTGGGTACTTCAAATTTTGAACGTCGTCAAGATAGGCCTCCGGGACGCCATATCCTGGGTGGCAAGCATTTGCGGAGCTTTAACTCCTCTCCATGACTCTAGACAACTTCTCACTACGTGAGGGTATCTCCATTATACTGACGATGGGGACCCTGTCACTGATCGTCCTACGGAAGATCAGTGTTGCGACTTGGCGGAAATGGCTGACCATATCCAGCTTAGCCAGACAAGCGAAGCCTGTTGCCGAGGAGAATGTTGCCGACGGCTGTAAGTCCGTATCCCTAATCAGTGTAGCATCTAATTATGTGTCAAACTTACCCGGGGTAGCATTGAACGAGCCTGGGTGGGACTGGAGTCGCCGTTGAGATGGAGAATACCACCATCTGGCGGGGAGCGCCAGATGCGAAATGGGCCACTTTTGACATGTTGAGCGACAAAAGCAAACACTAATGTAGAGAGTGCTTGTCTGGTCGTGGTTGCGGACGTATGGTTGTGCTGCCTGAATTTTGCACTCTTGCACCTCCAACTTCTCACTGCCTTACTCTCGCAATTGAACAGACTCGTTGCGAAGATAGGTTAGAATTTATTCGGACAGGTTGGCAGCCCCTCTTAAACGGTCCCAACTCTGTGTGAGGCGCACCCGGACTTGCTTCAGAAAACCTAAAATTAGAAATTGATATCACCAGGAGTGATTTGCGGCTATGACACAATTCTACCTCGAGATTGGCCCTGAGCAAGAACCGCGACGCCAAGCGTCATTGAACGGAGTCTCGCGAGCTTGCTGGGTGGTGGTCCAGCACTATAAACCCCGAGTTATTCCTGTTTGGGGTTACAGCCTCGGCCTACGGCTATATTAAGGTAAACTCCCCTTACCCGAGCCATTTGGCGCCAATGGGGACTGTCAGGGGCAACAGGGCCATCTCGAATGAACCAAGCCGATGGCTCCGCAGAAAAATCGAGCGAAGTCGAACTAGCCTGAGATAACGCCACGAGCAAAGCAGGGCCTAGATGAGAGTGTAGAGATTGCTATGTTGCTATAAAAAGAAACATTTGGGTAGCCTCAAATATCAGCACGCACCGCGCACCCGTTTTCGGGGGTGGGCAATATCGAGGAGAGGGCGACTTCATATTAAATCCCAACAGCTTGGAAGATGACTGGCCAAAATTCTCAGGGTCATGGGACTGTGACTGGCTGCCAAGCAGTTCATTAATATGTCTTTTGTGTTTATCCTGACAGTGCAGGCAAGCATGCTCGCCACTTACCCGGTTCTCCCCAGGAACACGCCACCAGCCGCCAAAAAAAAAAAATTGCTGTAGATTACTGTTGGAATGCACTTGATTCCTGCTTAACCCACGGCCTATTACCTGCTCCCGTGTCTCAAGCCTTCCGACGAGGGAGCATGTGGAAATAATGTGTGCAAGGTAGCATTCTGGGAAGCCACAATAAGGAGACACGGCCCCTCAGATGTTGCCATCAAGCTTGGCCATGGGCTAGAGGGATACTTATATGTCGCCCTGCCCTTCATTCACGACTGCACATCTTTCAGCTCATATCACAACCATCCCGACTATATCCCCATATATCCGACAAATTCTCGCAAAATTCATCATGAAGTACGCTGTCGCTCTCGCTCTGCCCCTGCTAGTCGCTGCCCAGACCGTGGACAAGAATGCCGTGAAAATCTCCAGCGTGTCCTACTCTGGCAACGGCTGTCCACAAGGATCTGCGTCGACGTCGATCTCGGACGACAGGACTGTAATAATACCGCCCGTTTCCCTCTCTGAAACGATTTCACGTTCCCAGGTTGCTAACCACCTGATACTAATTACCACATGATAGATTGTCACTCTGGGCTTTGACGGCTTCCAGACGTACATCGGACCCGGCTACGACCCCACCCAGAAGACCAAGAACTGCCAGCTGCATCTCTCCCTGAGCTACCCCAGCGGCTTCAACTTCGCCGTCATCGACAGCGTATACCACGGTTTCGCCGAGCTCGACGCCGGCGTGACGGGCACTTTCTACTCGACCTACTACTTCAGCGAGAACGCTGCCGCGACGACCACGACGCAGACGTCCATCAATGGCGGCGGCATCTGGGCCGACGGCCAGGTGTACACCAAGGAGAATCTGGTGCCGAGCGAGAAGTACGTTCGGTCGCGGTGCGGCGGCGGGTCCTCGATCCTGAACATCAACAACCGTATCGCCCTCACAAGCACTGATAGCGATGCCTCGGGCGTGCTAACAAATGATGATGCTACTGTTGCCTTTACACACCAGGTCCATCTGAAGTAAGTTCCCTCCGCCCCTTGTCTAGTGTTTATTATAGGACAGAAGTACTGACGAGCATTCTTCCCAAGGTGGTTCAAGTGTTAGGTCCGCAGCCAGGTGGAGACAAAAGATCTATAGGAGCGGTGCAGGATCCGATAGATCCGATTTCCTAGTGGGCATTCATTTCGAGCATTCGTGGGATTTTCTGGTCCGCCTTCGGATTGAGTCCACCATTTGGATCCTGATTAGTTGGCTTGTCTGGGAAATATGTAAACGACGGGAGTCTCTTTGCAGGCATGGGCAGTTTGTTAGGCAGATAGGAGGACTAGAGCCTAAGAGCAATCAACCATCTCTGCACTAAATTAGTTATCATGCTGTCTGCGTAAACAAGGGAAAGAAGGCCCTCCCCCGTTTCTGTAAATGCACCACGTGATCCCCCATGCAACCCCTTTTATCCCTTTTCAGTAGACATGGAAGAAGTCTAGACTTGCCGGGTTCTGTCCAACATGACCCCTCTTCTAAGTATCACTGGCTGAACCAAAGGCACAGTCGCCTCGTGTCTCTTCCTCGGTTCCATCTATTGCAGACACCATCAATCTTTGTTCCGGTTAAGGTATGCTCTTGCAGAGTTCCACACGCCCCGTGTGCCCTTGAGGATCTCATACCGCCCATCATAAAGAGGATAGACGGCCACTGCAAAGAAAGCAAAGAATTGCCATATAATGGCGACCGTCGTCCAGCTGGAGAAAAAGCGCTTGGAGAAGATGTAGTCTCGGTAGAGTGGCATGGGCCAGAGAATAAACGTAACCAGCACGATTGCGATCCAAATGATCCATGCAATGCGATACCATCGGTGAAGGTCTCGTAGCGTCTCATCGCTGAATGGATGTCGGATGTCGTCGAGACTGACCTCGGTTAATACTGTGATGGGATCTATCGCAACCGCAACTGGATACTTTTCATCATCGGTGACAGGATCGCGTTCGGGATCGGAAGATGACTCGACCATCTCTGATGCTGAAAACTCAAGAATCTGATCCACCCCTTTAGAAGAGGTGGCCCCTTTGGCTTTCTGGACGGCATCCTTCTCCGCGCCGCTGAGCGGAACGGCGTCCTCGGGTGCGGGCGCATGGAGCTGGGCTTCGTCCGCAAGCTCAATGCGGAGAAATTCTCGCCAGTCAAACTTGTAGGGCTTGTAGCACAGTGAGATGACAACCGAGTAGAGAGCAGGAGAGAAGAAAGATCCCATGGCCCCGTAGAGAGCCGGTAAGCCAGCCTCGGTCGTCTTCAGATTAATCGTGCCGTACAGAGACTTTGCCGTCCCCAGCCAAATAGCAAGGCCCGTGACGAAGCCTAGCATTGGTGACACGATCGCTGCCAGGCGAGTCTGACGGGACCAACAGAGTGTGAGAGCCAGGGGGATGATCCCAGGACAGGAGAGGATGGGCCGGAAATAGCCGATCCAAGTCATATCGGCGCCGCCGTAGTTCAGCACCAACGAGATTGCCGTGATGAAGATGGCATGGAAGACAACGGCAATATGGCTAACGCGAAGAAGCCTCTTGTCCGTCGCCTTCGGGTTGATATAGGTTTTGTAGATATCGAACGAGAGGATGCTGCTGACGGCGATCATCGACGACGACACAGTGCTAGTCAGAGCCATGAAGAGAAGGACAAAGAAAGCGACGATGCCTTGGTCACCGATGAGCGCCTTGATCGTGTAAGGCATGACAAATCCGGCGTTTACTTGCGCAGATGTGAATTCGCCTGGATAGGTTGGGAAGATGGGCGTATTGTGAATGGCCCTTGCGGTCAGTCCGATGACGGTTCCGAGCCCCCATGGAATGCCGAATATGGCGAGTGCAGCCAAGTTGTAGCCCGGGACAGTTGCACGAACTTCTGTGGCGAAGGACTTTTGCCAGAACGCAGTGTCCTTGAAGAAAAAAGCGAGGTCAAGTCAGCGATCGATTCTCAGGAAAATGCATCAGGTGATTAATTATCATCCCAGAAAGCCTTACCATGACCACGAGAGCCAGATTTCCAAATTTGAGGATCAAGCCCCAGATGATGGCATCCTTTGATTTCATGGTGAGGAGCGACCCCTGATGGTTTCCCGGGATGTAGTTGTCGGCAGCCGTTGCCACCACCTTGTCGTAGAGCCCGCCCAGCCCACCAACTGCCTCGTGGGTCAGGATGCTGAGGGTGAAGTAGATGATAAGCACGAGGGCAATGGTGGTATGGAGGTAATCGGTAAGGAATGTGGCTTTGAGACCACCGACTGCTGTGTATAGCACCACTGTTGCCGATGAATCAGCCCCCTTTTCAAGAATGGTTTGCATTCAACACCTTCAGGTATTGTATCTCACCTCCAAGTGGGATGAGGATGGTGGCGGCGACAAAGTGCATTCCCGAGATCCCAAATATCACTTGCGAGCCTGTGAGAATCATCGAGGCGCATCCAAATACGTTGTTGGATAGGTTTAGCAGAATGAATACGATGTGTCCAATCTTGCCATAGCGGATTCGTATGATCTCCAGGGACGTATGAGCATAGGGGACCCGGATCTTGGCCAAAACCCCTAGAGCCGCCATCAGGGCTATCTGAAAGCAAAGACCAGTTGCCCACCACTATTCGGGATATCAGCATGTGAGTCTCCTTGACACCTGCTAAGTACCAAATCGAGAGGGAGAGGCAGTCGCTGCTGACCAGAGGAACGGCCAGCCCAAACCGATAACACATGGCTGCCGAGAACACCGTCTCATTAATCCACATCCACGACGAGAACACAGCCGACGCAGTCAGCCCGGTTCCAACGGATCTGTTGGCAACCATGAACATCTCGGATGTCGCCGAGTCCTCGGCGAGATAGGCCCTCTGGACCTTGATGGCGACCAGAATCACCCCGCAAAAGGCCACGCCGAGGCCGACGAGCAGGCCATAGCCCGTCGCTTGAGGGACCAGGGTTACACCTGATACACCTAGTTGGACTGACATTGCGACTTGATTCAGGGAAAGGCAGTGGAGTCAAAGCAGGTGGGCAACTTGGTTAAACTAATAATAATAAAACTGTGCTTGGTGCCCGGACGGGCCATTCGTTTTATGTCGAGAGATCCCATTACGTTTTCTATCTTTGATGACCCAAGAACCACTTTCCGCCATCTTGCGAACCATGGCTGGAGTTCTAGACCCATGTTGACTTCGTCACGCCGCACCCGTTACATATTGCGTTATCATTAGAGGCACCCCGGCCGAGATCCGGGCAGTGGTGTTGATAACGGTCCACTTTGGCCAACAAGGTTGGATGCTACCATAGTATATTCCTGATCTGGTAACTACACACGGCTACAGGTTGACCCTTGCCACGGAATTAAGGGGGAAAATGATCCAAGATATGGGGATTGGCTGCTTGCTGTTGATGAACTCAGGTATTGCGTGCCATAAGTACGATATGGCGAGGGCCGAATGCGGGTCGAAGGAGCTGCAATCCTCCGGTTGTCGCACTTATATGCCCAACAAGGGATACGGCTTGGCGATATCGGAAACATGAAGAAGATCACGAAGATATGAGGGGACAGATGGAGGGGGGAAAGAGTGTGGCAACCCACTTATTCCCAACCTCTGGCATCTCTCTTCATCTCTGATTAATTATTCCCTGCTGTCCCTTGAGCCCCATGCGGTTTCAATTTATTTTGCTGTCGGAGTGGGTCACGAGGCAAGGTAGGAACAAACAATAGCCAAAAATGTGGCACTATCTATCTGTCCATGACCCCAGAACAGAGGCAAGAAGCAGATCATTTTGTGCTTTTGTGATGAACGCCCCGGGTTAGTTTTGCTCTAGGCCTGCTATAGGAAGAATACCTAGAAGCCCTAGAGCGTATTTTCCTAATCTACAAACGACTGGTACTACGTATTGGATAGGTAGCTTAGCAACTCTTCAATGAAGAAGTGACTTCAACCCCGCCCGCCCTGCAGCTCCCCCACTTTGCGTCTCGCATCACATCTGACGCAGTTTGTTCACCCGATCTCGCTCCCTCCCATCAACTGCATGCAGCTCGGCACCAAATAATAGTACAACGGCAGCCATGTCAGACCCCTCGTACATCATCGTCGGAGCTGGCGTCTTCGGCGTCTCGACGGCGTTGCATCTCATCCGCAAGTACCCGCACTCCCACATCACCCTCATCGACCGGGACGGCCCGGACGCGCCGACCGCGTGGCCGCCTCGTGGGACTGGAACAAGGTCGTGCGGGCCGACTACACCGACATAACCTACATGCGCCTCGCGCTCGAGGCCCGCGACGTCTGGAAGTCCGACCCGCTGTGGCGGCCGTTCTACCACGAGACCGGCATCTTCTGGGTGGCGCGGTCGGCGTTTGCCGGTCGGGTCGTGCAGAACTACCGGGAGCTTGGTGTGCGGGGTGAGCTGTATGCTTGTACGGTGGAAGAGGCCCGTGGGGAGCACGGTGGTTTGTTTGTGGATGGGGACTACCAGGATATCACCGAGGTGCTGGTCAATAAGACGAGCGGCTTGGCCGATGCGAAGGATGCGCTGAAGAGGGTTATTGAGGAGGCCCTGATGCTTGGGGTGACCTTTGTTGGGGCAGAGGTTGAGGGCCTCGAGTTCGAGGACGGAGAGCGAGGTGCTTGCACGGGGGTCAGGACGAAGGCCGGAGACACGATCACGGCCGAGAGAACAATTCTTTGCACAGGCGCCTTCACACCGAGGTTGTTGATGGACAGCGCTCCAGAACGACCGGATCTTCATGCCGGAGACAGAATCGTCGCCACGGGCATTACAGAGGCCGTGGCGCCTCTGACCAAGGAACAGTTTCAGAAGTATCGTGATATGCCTGTCACGTCAACGGACAACCCCCCTGGGAGAGGTAATGTCACCACCGACTTGCCACGGGATTTTTTAATGCACTGTCATACAATTCTAACGGTCACGCAGGCGTCGACAACGGCTGCCTGCCTTACAATAAAGAGGGCATGCTCAAGTTCTGGGGCCAGACCATCTTCAGAAACACACACCAACATCATTCCACGAAGACGCCGCTGTCGATGCCGCCGCCAGACCCGGATTATGCGCAATGGAACGTGCCGAAGCGGTTACAGGACGATGTCGGCGTCGGCAACGGAACCATCTTCGGCCGCAACGCAGAGGCCCTGAAGATGGAGCAGTTTAGGATCTGCTGGTAAGTGTTTTCCATCTATTGCAGGATGCTAACTGCAAAAGAAGCCATGAAGCTAAAGGTGGTGATTGATTTTTGCGTCTAGGGAGGCCGTGACGCCCAGCAATGACTTCATCATATCGCCGCACTCTGCCTGTGAAAATCTGTACGTCGCGACTTGCGGATCTTTCCACGGCTTCAAGTTCTTCCCAGTTCTGGGTAAATACGTCGTTGAGATGCTTGATGGATTGCTGGATCCGGCTCTGCAGCAGAAATGGGCCTGGGATCGGACGCTGCCGCCCATAGACGACAACGACCACTGGCCAAAGAAGGAGCTCAGAGATCTCTTCTGAGGAAAGTCGGAGCCAGAGAGCGATCTACTCTAGAGGGTTGCCACGCAAACTGAGAAGCTGAGAGTTTGGCAGAAGAACTAACTAACTGATCAATATCCAATGACTTGTTCGTTACCCCTGTCTTGGCTCTGAGTGAGCCTCCTCTTGGCGGTGCGCCCCATTGCTCCTTGCAAGTTAGCTTGTAATTATACCCTAGCCCATGTTTTGGGTCCGAGCTAAACTCCCCGCCGCGGCAACCCCATTTCCCCGCACCTCACCCGCCACACCGTTCGACTTTTGTTTTCGTATTAAGAGCCGGCGGAACGCCCAACGGCTTGGACAGCGGCTCTTAATTTGCACTCGCATGATGCAGATGGAGCCAAAGCGGATACGGCACGCCTGCGCCAGGTGCCGGCGACAGAAACTCAAGGTGAGGGACCACAATCCCCGTTTTGGTATTCTCGCCACGGGAGAGGCAGGCGGCTGCGGAAATTGTTGCTGACCCGTCAGCGAAGTGCGATAAGAAACGACCATGTCCATTGTGTGTACATGCCAATGCCGAATGCAAGGACGCCACCGAGCGGACAAGGTGCGTCGACGAGCCTTAGGATTCCTGCTGGAACGAATATCTGATGCCATCTTGCAAGTAGACGGTCGAACAGAGTCCCCAGAACACTGTCACCTCTATCCGCCACTGGACAAGTTCACAATCCAAGGGAAACTCCATTGGTCGTAGTGACCCGGACAGATTTGGACGTCGACACTCCGGCACACGCTCGAGAGCCGTTGCCGTTGCCGTTGCCGTTGCCGTCCAGCACTCGACAATCTTCCGTGGCCGCCGAACAGCGAGACCAGGTTGAGCAGGCGCAGGAACGCACATCTGCCTTTCATCTGGTCGACAGGGCAAGTCCATCCACCAAGACCAATTACTCGGTCGAACATGGGTTCTTGTGTGTTCTGCAGGTTGCTTACCTGTAGCGCAGATATTCAAAAAATATCGCTTCAACAAGTCAACTAAGAGTCGAGTCGTCGATGCGATCCCCGATGCAAGCCCGTCCGCGACGGCGGCGGCGGCCTCGGCGCATGGTGTCGATGACCGGGTGCCAGTACGCGAGCTGATCGGCATCGACCTGCCGCCACGCGATGTGGCGCATGCGCTCCTGGACTCGTATGTTGATGCGATACACTGGTACTTGATGGTGATCCACGAGCCGTCCTTCCGAGACCGGCTAGATACGGTCCTGACCACGGGGCTGGTCCATCGGCGGCAGCGGCCGTTCCTGGTGCTCGTCCTCATTGTTCTCGTGCTTGGTGCTTGGCATATAGGCGCGGAGCCCAAGGAGGGATCCTGTGCAGGCGTTGACATCCCGCAGCTCGAGGCCCGAATGCTCGAGGCGGCTGAGCGGTGGTACCTTCCATCATGGGAAGAGACAGCCGTCGAGACTGTTTCATTCTCCTATCTGCTCGCTTCGTACTACCTATATTGCGGCCGAGCCAGGGCGGCTTTCCTTACGATGCAGGCCACCGTCGGGGCAGCTCAGTCTATGGGGCTACACGTGGAGTCGACCTGGGGTGCCATCGATCCGATTGAACGCGAATTACGGCGGCGGACTTGGTGGGGCGTGGTTGTTGGAGCTGGGTACGTATGCGAGGGGCGGTGTCTGTCAAGCGTGCGTTGATACAATACCCGAGCTGAGCTGACCGGACCACTTTCTCACGCCTCAGATACCTCGCCATGTCGTACGGAAGGCCGTGCATCCTCGCCGAAGACGACTTCCAAGTCCGCCAGCCGATCGACGTCGACGACAGCTCGGACACGTGCCCCGGATTCCACTCCCTCGAGCAGCGAGACGATGGCAAGTTCTGGCCTGTCACGATCCAGTCCTTCCAGCGCTACCGAGCGAAGCTGTACATCATCGTCGCCTCCATCACGCGCGACGTCTACGTCAAGCGTAGTCGCAATTTCGACGAAATAACCAACCGCGTCAGGGAATTGCATAGTCGCCTTCTGGACTGGGAGCGGACAATACCGCCCGAGTTAAAGTTGGACTCTTACATCGGCCATAGTCTGGATGGTCCGGAGAAGTCGCTCATTCGCATCTTTGCTGTCCAGGCCATGTCGCTACAGATTTCCTACGACAACATCCAGCTCTTTCTGTTTCGCCCCTTCCTATCTCACGGAAAACTGTCTGACATGCACGACGCCGTCTGGGATGGTGTACTCCCTTCTCCCGCGTCCGATCAGGCGGGAAGGCAGTTGGCCGATATTGTCACCACCGCCTGGAATCAGTGCTGGGTTTCGGCCCTGCGGACGTCCCTTATGGGCCAGCATCTGGGCATAGCTCGTCTCATACGACGCAGCCCACCCAGCGTCCACACCGGCGTGTCCGCTTTCACGGCAGCCGTGGTGCTGTGCTTGCTGGCGCTGTCGAACCCGCTCTCGGCACGCGGCCAGGAGTGCAAGCGAGGAATCGCCCGTCTGATCCAGGTCGCCGGCAAAGCCGAGCTCGACGCACCAATATGGATGCAGATGACCCAAGTCTTGGAGGATCTGATGCATGTCATCGCGGCCGAGGAGACCAAAGCTCTGGTATCCGGGGACGGGGACCTGGCTCCCCAGCACGGAATCGTTTCGCTCCCAGTATTTGGCGTCCCACCGAGCCTGTATCCAGCACCCCGCGCTCAATCACGACGCGAGCAGGCTAGTCATGGACTAGCATCGAGCCAAGCGGGCTCTACAACTGGCCCAACCAACGTGAGACTCGAGACACAGCAAGTAGGAACCTCGACTCTATTTGAGCAGCCATGTCCGGCCGAGGCGGTGGAAGAAATATGCTCACCACAGAGCAGCGACATGCGTATGGCTGCTGTGCTTCACTCCATGTCCCAACCGGTCGGTGGTCCGGCAACTAGGATGGTCTTGCCAGACTTCAGCATCTACCCGGAGTGGCTGGGAGAGAACCTGCTGAACCAGAGCCAGACGTGGATTTGGGATGACGCTTTCTCGAGCATCTAGCACGATATAAACTTCAAGTGGAAGGATGTCCGGCTCTCAGAAGATGCGCTCAGGCGATCGCATGACAATCGTGCTCCAAAGATCAAATCAGGGCAAAACTTCGACTTGCTTGGCCCGTGCTGGCGGCCATCTCCGGCTCAATCCAGAAAAAGGGGGAAGCCCCCACTTCGACCGGCTCCAACTCGGAGCCGTCTCCACCAGATGGTGTGTCCTTGGCATGGATCAGGACGCTGCTCATTGAAGGTAGTGGGGCGAGTCTCCCCACTCGGAGCCGGTGGCTCGCCCCAAAGTCCAGACCCTCGGTAATTAATCCAAACCCGCCGGCTCCTCGACGAGTCACCACCTGCCTAACCTGCATCGCACATCAAGGCTCTCCCTTGACTGGCCCACTAGCAGAGCCTGGTAATGGTCCAGACGCCAGTGCAGACCCCATGGGGTTGAGCCTTGGCGCGTCCCTCGATTGCCGATGGGGATGCATCAAGCTCTTGGCAGCCACATCACTGACGGATTACTAAACCGCCGCGAGCCCCACGACGAGAGAGACTCCCTCACTCTCGCATGTTCAGAGATTCCAGCCTTGGTCGTTGACGCCTCGTCTGTGTGATTCTCCCTGGTCTTTCTATCCAGTCCTTTGTCCCCGTTTCTGGCACCTTCCTCTCTTCGAAAACCCAACACCGCGGGACCAGCCATGTCCGCCGAAGAAAAAGGTCAAGCCACGGCCTTCGACGTCGGGCAGCATGATGACGCTACTGCCACCACTGGGAAACAGCCCAGCGTCGACTCCTCGGACGACGAGTTCTCGCCCGAGGAGCAGCGCCGCATCATCCGCCGCATCGACCTCCGCCTCGTGCTGACCTGCGGCTTCATGTACTGCATCAGTCTCATCGACAGGACTAACTTGGGCGCCGCTTCCATTGCCGGCATGACGACGGAGCTGAATCTGATTGAGTATCGCTATGTTTGTTGCCCTGCCCACCCTCTGACCCTAACAGGTAGACCTAATTGCCTTTAAGCTGACACACTCTACGTCCAGTCGCTTCTCGTGCTCGTCTTCTTCATCACTTACGTTCTCTTCCAACCACCAGCGACTATCCTTTGCCGCAAGGTCGGAGCCCGACGCTTTCTAGGTGGCATTTGCTTCCTCTGGGGAGTCGTCATGGTGCGTGTCCGAACAATCTCCATTGCGACCGTTATTCTTGTGCACACACGAGACTGACTGCAGGACAGCTTTCACACGGTCTAATCAATAAATGGACCGACATGATTCCCCTGCGTCTCCTCCTTGGTCTCTTCGAGGCTGGCTTCTTCCCCGGTTGTCTGTATCTCATCTCCACCTGGTATACCCGCTACGAACTGCATCAGCGCTACTCGCTCTTCTACCTCGTTGGCTGTGTTGTGACGGGCTTTGGCGGCATCCTTGCCTACGGACTTATGCAGATGGTAAGAATCTACAAGACCCGCCATTCTCTTGCATGGGCTCTACATGTATCTACTTGCAGAGGCTGACAAGCGTGACCCTCTCAGGACGGCCTCGGCAACTACTCGGGCTGGCGTTGGATCTTCATCATGGAAGGCCTGATCACAGTCGTTGTCGCAGTCATCGGCTACTTGGTCCTCGTCAATTTCCCAGACCAGTCGGGGGACCTGGCATGGAAGTTCCTGTCAGAGCGCGAGCTCAACTGGGTCATTCGCAGGATCGACAACGACCGTGAAGACACCGAGGTCGAGCCCTTCAACCTTCGGAAGTGGGCCAGCAACGGGCTCGACCCGAAGATCTGGGGTTTCTCGTTCATCTACTTCCTCCTCACCACGACGACCTACTCCATCGCCTACTTCTTACCCGTTATCCTCCGCGGAATGGGATTCTCTGTCGCGGCATCCCAGTGTCTCGTGGCGCCGCCGTATGTTATGGCTGGCATCATCATGACCGCTACCTCGTGGATCGGAGACAAATACCGGACCAAGGCTCCTATTCTCATTTTCAACGCCGTGCTAACCATTATCGGAATTGCAGTCATGGTGAGCTCCCCCGAATCCATGTCTCCCCCCGTCTCCCGTCTGGACAACCTGGGTGGGCAATGCGTCGTTGCTAATCTGGCGTGAAAACATCTAGGGCTGCGCAACTGGCACCGGCCCTCGCTATTTTGGTGCGTTCTTGACGACAGCGGCGGCGAATGCAAATATTCCAACCATCATGACTTACCAGGTACGGAGGTCCCCAGCCGCCCCCTTTTGCCATTCCTGATAAACCATGCATCGTCACTAACAACCTTCTCCCCCTTCGTAGGCAAATAACATCCGCGGCCAGTGGAAGCGAGCGTTCTGCTCAGCAAGCCTCATCGGCGGTGCCGGGCTCGGCGGTGTGGCGGGGGCGCTGATCTTCCGGTCCCAGGACGCCCCACTGTACCGGCCGGGCGTGTACGCCACCATCACGGCCAACAGCCTCGTCATCATCGTTTCGCTCATGCTCACGATTTACTTCAGAATCTGCAACCGGAAGGCCGATAGGGGAGAAATGATCATCGAGGGACTGGCGACGTTCCGATACACCATCTGAGATACAGACTCCACTGCCTCTCGGGTCGCAGGGCGGCTGCATGTTGGTCCTTGTCTGTTTCGGACAACTGTCGAGCGTGCTGGACGCTCAATCTGTTTAGGTTTATTTTTTTAAGGAAGCCTCGATTTTCCTTATAATTACATAGCCATTAATGTCCCTGTCGAATTCCATGTCTAGGATCAGGCCACAGTAAAGAACATAGAAACCCCCCAGGGGAGTCGCATAACTGAGTGATTGAGACAGGGGGCGGCGCAGTTCTGCGCGTGATGAGACAGCCTATTGGTCAGGAGTGTTTTTCAACGACTGTCGGTTCCGAAAGACCGCCCGACTCTTCGCTTCGAGGTGCCAGTGTAGCGCCCATCCCCACTAGAAAGGATCAAAGCTGCGGGGGTGATGCAAGGATTGGACCAATGGAGCACGCAAGAAGCAAGAGAAGGTGTTTGTTTGCGGGCGGCAATATGCACCTCCTCTCCTGCTCTTTCACTTTCAGCCATCCTCATTGGCTTTGGCCGCCTCAGGATCTGTGACGAAGGCGGCACAGCCTCGAAGATCAACGATTGCCAGATATTTTGATATCAACTCCCCAGATGTGACCCGGATCTCAATTATCCACATTCTCGGGTTTCTCTGGTTTTTGTTCATCAAGTAGACTCCTATCGGAACTTGAGTGAGCTGAGCATCTCTGAAACGTGGTATGCATGGCAATGCCTCGGCTAACGATCCTCCCAGAAACATAATTATAGCACCATGTCGGGCCGCGCAGGCGCACGCAGGCTCGTAGAGGACATCTGCAAGGAGCATGGCTACATCCCACCGGAGATCCTGGACCGATTATCCAAGGCCGATCGCGATGTCATTGTCCAAGCCATGCTGAGCAAGGACAAGCTGATTGCTTCTTCTATCACAACGTATGACGCTGTTTAAAACCCCCCTACGCGGCGACGAGCTTTGTTAAAATGTATCCAGGTTGGCACAGAATCTCTACACAAGCAATGCGAGATTTGTCTTCGAACTGCTCCAGAACTGTGATGACAATCACTACAACAATGCCCGGGCCCGCGACGAGGTGCCGTACGTATCGTTCAACATCTATCCAGACCGGATCATCATGGAATGCAACGAAGACGGCTTCGAGCCGGAAAATCTCACTGCGATTTGCAATGTTGGCCAGAGCTCCAAGACGGGCGCTCAGGGCTACATCGGCGAGAAGGGTATCGGCTTCAAGTCCGTTTTCATGGTAGCCTATAAAGCTCATATCCAATCTGGAGACTTCTCGTTCCACTTCCTGCACCGGAACGGCGATTCTGGGCTGGGTATGATTACACCGGTTTGGCAAGACCACGAAGACGACCTTGAGGACCACCTCACTCGCATCACGCTGCTCCTTCATAACGACGGCGACTCGGCGGCTCTCGAGAAGCAGCGGCAGACAACCGGGCAACAGCTCCGAGAAATCCACGACACCATTCTTCTATTCATGAAGAACATGGAATGGATTGAAATTGTGTTCTATGATGACGACGAGGAGGTAGAGTTTACCACCACGTACTCGATCGATCGTCAGACAGACAACAGAGTGGCCGTGACAAAGCACACCAGCGAGGACGGCGAGGAGCAAGAGGACGTGAGATATTACCACACGACCAAACATGTCGCCACCAACCTCGCAGGAAACGAGAATCGCACTTATTCAGACAAGGAGATGGAGACTATGGCCTACTCGAGATCAGAAGTCGTCCTCGCATTTCCGCTGGATGAGGATTCAGTCCCGGTTATCGATAACCAATGGATCTTCGCCTTTTTGCCAGTTCGGCAGATGGGATTCAAGGTATGTGGGAAGACAGTGGCATGGACAACCCATCTTGTTCTAATTGATGGGTATTTAGTTCTTGATTCAAGCGGATTTCGTTACACAAGCCAACAGGCAGGACATCGTGACCACTTCGCTCAGAAATGAGGGACTGGCAAACGGAATCGCCGAAGCGTTCGTCAAGGCAGTCCTGCAGTTTTGTCAACACGATACGCTGCAATACCAGTGGATGCGATATCTCCCCCAGGAAGACGGGTATCCCTGGGACGGCTTTTGGAAGAGCCTCATCCAGAAGATCGGGGACCAGTTGAAACGCACGCCAGTTATGCGACCGGTCAAGCCCGGTCCTCTCCAGCTGTTATCAGCGTGTAGGCGACTGCCTCCAATGCAACTGGATAAACACGGCAAGCCTCTTTTCGCCGATATAGCACCTGAACGCTATCTGTCTCTTGACTATGGAAGGCGGGACCTCGACCTATTGGGGAAGCACGGCCTTCCCTTCATGTCATTTTGCGAGGCCATAGTTCGGGTTGCGCACGATCTTGCGTCGTCGAAGTCGAGGATGAAATCAACCGTCGACGAAGACTGGCAATCCAGGGTCGCGCTTTTGCTGAATCTCCCGTTTGCGGATTCGCGGCAGGACGGGAAGGACAGAGTTAAGCAGCTGGACTTGCTGCCCCTGAGAGACGGCAGCTGGACCACGATCAAGTCCGGCAACGTGTATTATCCCAGAGTCGGCGGCACGGACCTGGACATCCCCCTCGGCCTCGACTTGAAGGTAGTGGATCCTAAGGCTGTCGCCAATGCCCAGAGGAAGCAGCTTTTTGGATCGATAGGAGTTCAGACCGCGTCGGTGTCTTTCATCCGGGAGGCAATCTTCAACATCCACACGAGATTATTCTTCTCCATTATTCTCAAGGTCGCCGCTTCTCACCTCCGGTTTCTTTATATGACTCAGCATCTCACCAAGACACCGTATAGCTACGACCGGCTTTATCTCGTGACTGAACAGAAGAAGGTCCAGAGCTACGGTTCGGCAGATTTCTACATTCGGGACGACAGTCCTTATGGAGCAGCCCAACTACTTGACCCGGTCGATGATGAATCGGATTCCGAGAACAATGCCCCGGGGTTCAACGTGTCCATCCTCCACGGTGCTTATTTCAAAGACACGCCAATTCCTCAAACAAGAGATTCCCTGTCGTGGAAGGAGTGGCTCCACGAATGCTTCAAAGTCCGACGACATCTTCGGCTTATTGACAAAGATGGCGCAAAGCTCTCTGATATCTGTCATTACGTGGCAGAGCACCGACCCAAGAAGTTCCTCGGCTTCTTGCAGGCGACCTGGGAGCTAGAGTGGCCATTAGCTGCGATGGAGAAAGAAGACATCATCGACGAGCTCGGCTGGGTGGACGTGCTTTGCGAAGACAACGAAATGCGTCCATTTGACACGACATACCTCCCCACCACGGACCTCAAGCAGTTAAGTAGTCGGTTCCTGCTTGAGGGAGAATACTTCCCTTGGTTGCAGCTGGAGACTGAGCCTATCTACAACACGTTCCCTCCCCAATGGGACGCACTGGGGAAAGCGTTTGGGCTCGGCTCCAAAGGTCCGGATACGACCTTCATCCTCGACGTTTTGGATTATATATTGGATCAAAATGAATCCGCAGAGGATATGGTCAGGCCAGAGAGGGTCTACGAGCTCTATGTATACCTTCAATCTGAAGTGCGCAAGTCCAGCGAACCTGGTATACTCGAGGAGCTTATTCGGTAAGTTTTATGTCAGCTGCTAAAGTATTTATCCTGACGGATTTCCTGTCCTAACGCCACTTTTAGAAATCAATTTCTCTCAAGACCGTCAATATTCATTCCCGAAGGCGCTGATCAACGACCTGCCTGGGCTCATGCTGAAGAGTGTGTTTGGGAGTCGCCAATCGAGATGATGACCAAGTATTCACTAGCGAAGCTCTACGAGGCCGACTTCGAACGATTCGGTACAGACCGCTCTAACTTGGCCAATTTCTTCTCGGGAACGCTGGAAATCCCCAATTACGACTGGGAGGACCTTATTGAGGAGATCAGGGAATTCAAGTCGTCCGACTGCACTGACTTTGACAGAGTCAGCGAGCTCTACAAGTGCCTTGCCGATGAGCGCTTGACAGATATCAGCGCAGAGCAGCTGAGGTGAGAGGTGCTGCATGAGAGGAGACAAGAGGCTTCGCTGACGGCAGTGATTAATGACAGGAAAACCTTCGAGGCCGAGGCACTCATTTGCGGCTCTGAAAACCAAGTCGTGTCGTGGCACAAAACCGCCCAGTGTCTGTGGACCAGTGCCACCCAAATCAGGGGGATGCTCACTCTTAAAGAGCTGTATCCACACCTTCGGAGCTTCTTCGTCAAGAATGTCGGCGTTCAGACCATGACCGCCAAGATGGTCTACGACAAGCTGACTGGACCAGAACTGTCCGTGGAGGAAGCGAAGCAGACCCTTGAAACCTTCAACTCTTTGCTTCGGGTGAGTAAACGTGGCGAGTTTGATCCCGCCCCAGTCCTTCAGAAGACAGTGTTCCCCGTCAAATTCCCCAACGGCCATGTTTCACTTCTCAAGGGGTCTGACGACTTTGCCCTTCTGGATCGCAAATCCCTCGGCGACGATTTTGCTGCCAAGGCGAAGTTCCTCGATTTCAGCATGGACAAGACTCGCGACTTGAGGCCATTGATCGAATGGGCCGGCCTCGAGAAGAGGTACTTGTCAAAGGTGGTGAAAGAGATTTCTGCGGCCGATGAAGACTCGACGCGGCCCATATCGTCACCATACCGCGAGATCAAGCCAAAAGCTCGTGCTTTGCTCAGGTCAGTGGCCTCGAAGAGCTACCTAATTTAGTACAGGTAAAATTGACGTACTATTAATTACAGCATCGCGATGGCCTACAATAGCCCCAGAACGAAAGGCAACCATGAGGCGTTCTACAACCTGCTGCGGAGCTCGGAGACCCTTGAGACGGACAAGATCACATCGGAGCTTCATTTGCACCAGGATGGAAAACTCCTGCGGGTCGAAAAAGCAACGGCAGATCTCCACATTCGCGAGAACCCGACTTCGCTCACGATTTACGTCCCGGAGGATGAGACCAGCCAAGATTTTTGCTTCAATAGCAAGTTGCCACAGCTCCTCTGCGAGTGGATCATGACGGAACCGACGTCACGGATTTTGGAGCATGTTCATCAGGAGGCCGTAAATGCTGTTCAGAGCGTTCTGAACGTCAAGAAATCCAGAGCGCTGGCGAAGGTCTTGGACCACCATGGCGTAACTCTCCTCGATGATCCAGCCGAAGAGGCGGAGGAGCTTGAGCGGGAAGAGGCCCATGAGTCTGAGCGGGAACAGGTCGAGGAACTTGAGGGGGAAGACCACGGTGTGGCTGGACCTGCTGGACCACGAACCCCATTGCGGCCGAACATTCAGGTGCTCCAGTCTCGCACTCCGGACAACCACAGAAGCGACTCAAGTGCCACTGAATACCTGGGCACAGATACACCACCGTCGTCCGTTCATTCGCCAACTGCGAGCAGATCCCCCAGAAATGAGGGAATATCCTGTCTCACCGCTGGGAGCAGCTATGCAAGCTCCGCGCGACCAAGGCTTCAGCCGGTAGATGTAGATTCGTCCGTGCCGGACTCGGGCGAATACACGACTCTACTGCACAAGGTCGTAAATGCCGCCAGACGTACAGGTTTTCCGTCACAGGGCGCCTTCGACATGTCAGCCATTCAAGCTGCCCTTGGGAGCTCGACGTTGGACGAAGGTGACGAGGATCCCTACCGTCCGCGCTCCATTAGCAAGTTGGAACGGGACAAGCAAGTTGGTGCCGCAGGCGAGCTCTTTGTAAGCGCCTTGATTCACCCGCCATTTCGCAAGTCGAGCCGTAATATTAATACCGAGTCTTGCAGGTTTTTGAGCTACTCTCTCGCCTCGACATTCCGCTGTCTGGCTTCTCCCGCGCAAACTGGCAAAGCACTATCCGCAGCTATGTAACAAGCCACCCGGATTACTCCGACATGAGGCCCTGGAAAGGACGAGAGACAGCAGACATTACGTACGCCGACTACAACAGCACACTGGCAAATCTGCTCATTGACAAGGGTTATCTCGCCTCCGATGTCTGGGCCGGCGCAAGGCTGCAGTACTATATCGAAGTCAAGACGACGACGGGGCCCTGCGAGACGCCGTTCTACATGAGCAAGCACCAGTACAAGAGGGTCAGTGATACTTCGCAGAAACAGTAATAATGGCTCCACCGCTAACTTCCGCTAATAGATGCAGGACAAGTCCAACACGGCCGGCGGTCGGAGGACGGAGAACCTCTACGTCATATTCCGGGTCTTCAATCTCGGGAGCGACTCCGTCGGGCTTAAGGTGCTAGTTGACCCGGAGAGCATGAGACGACGAGGCGAGCTGGTGTTTACAACAGAAACGTGGGCTGTCACCATAGGAGCTTGACTGCCTCGTGTTTGTGTAATTACTTGAAACATGCTGAGAGACTAATGGTGCTTGGGGCTTGGCGTCTATGATGATTTTAACGCGTGGCTCTCTTAATTACATGGCAGATTGAATACATCCATCATGCTCAAAACCAGGTCCTGGGTCTATTGGTCAAGTCGACCCATATGCCGACCCACGGAGAGAAATTAAGAGAAATCTCTCAATCACCTTGTCATGAAGCCACAACGGCAACTCGGATCCTAACTAGGTCCTTCATCGTGCTCGTCCGAGCCATAATCGACGTTGAAATCGGTGTCATCTACTTCATCCGGGTAAGCAAACGGTTCGGTGGACGTTCCGGAGACAGTCAGGTCGTTCAATGTGAGACCCGTGTTTTGGGCCGGCCAAGCCAATCCAGCCGGTATGTGAGGCATCGGGCCGCGGCTGTCGTCATCGGCTTCCACTGCGTCGGTCGCGTACGTTGGTAATGGGGGCCATTGCTGGTCGGGCTGTGGTTCAGGCTTCTCCCAGGAGTAGTACCCAGAGTCTGTCCCTTGTGGAATTCCCCATCTCGTTGGTTCCGCGCTAGCATTGTCGTCCAAGGAGTATGGGTCCACTCCTTTGGGGTCGACGTGTAACGATGACAGTCTAGCCTCTAGCACCGCGACGCTCGGCAGCTGGTTGCTTGCCAAAACCTGGTCGATGTAATATCGTGGCTCCAAGTAATCGTAGTCTGCAAGTTTGGTCAGACTCTCTGCAAGGCAGATTGATGATTAATTAACGCAAAAATCGGCACTGACATGGATTTTCGGGGGGCGACACGGATTTTCCAAAGAGGCAACGACAGAGCGAGTGGTACTTTGGCTTTGTGTTTTCTCCCTTGGAGTCGTTCTTGCCGCATTCCTTCAACCATTTTTCGAATTTAATGTCTTGGTCCCCTGTCATCCGTTCTGGGTAGGCTTCCACGCAATTGAGTTTTCCGTGTCGTCTACGCTTTCCTCGGCCGCACGAGAGACTGGTATTTTCCGCCGCTTTGTTCGGTTGTGTGTGTGCAGACAGTTCCCCCGTTCCGGTGGTCTTCTTCTTCCGCTTCCGCTTGCCGTGGGTGCCCGAGGGACTACCACACTCTGTGTCTCGGTCATTGTCCGTGCTGCCGGAATGCTTTTTGTGGTGGTGTTCGTCTTTGAGCTTGTCCAGGTATTTGTCGCTGTTCTCGTTCAAGGAAGCTTCCGGGAACCCCTTTGAACAAATTTCACACGAAAATTGGTAGGAATGGTATTTTCGGATGTGTTCGCTCGTGAACAGGTCAGCATGTCTCTCCCAGGTTTCGATGCCACACTGAGGGACTGGCTTACTTCAGCAGCCGAAAGCCATCAAACCCCCAACGCCTCGTACATGGAGTGTCGGCATCAAACCTTTCGGGGAAGCATTTGCTGAATGGACATGCTAGGCGTTTCTTATGGTTGCGGGCCTCATTCCCCGTTCGATCCCTTTGGGTCGATGTACGAAGGTTATCGGACATTATTTTTCTTTCGTTCTTTCTTTCTCTTATCCCATTTTAAGGATCCCGAATAGCTTCTCGAAATTATTCACCTTCTTCGTCGCCTGTTGTTTGTGGTTCTTGATATCTTTGGCGAGAACCCTCTCGTATGTGGTTGATCCTTCGGCGCGGGTCTGGGCCGTGAATCGCTGTATGTGGTAACTGGAACCAGCCTGGCCTTTCTGGTTAGCGACAATACACTAGAGTGTCTTCGACAGATCGAAATTCTTGAAGTCAAATTGCGGAAGGGCGGTGAGGGGATTAATCTAGGAGAGATGGGCAGCGCTATGCCTGGGGCGTCGGGCATACCTGGCTCCGCTTAACCGACTCGTGCTTCATCCAGATGTGTTGGGAATATCAAGTAAACAAAGTAGGGACCGAGAGACTGTTTGGTTGTCAGAGAGATACGTTTCATTGGCCGGTGGGCGTCGAAATGTGCACTTTGGGCTGGATATTATGGTGGAAAGTCTCTTCTGAGGTCGTGGCCACGATGACATTCGTTCAGCCGCAGGGTTAAACCCCCACCTCCTGCCACCCCGCGTGGAGAGGCTGGTCAACGACGGAGTGCCACTACTGTCACTACGCCAGGTGGGTGATAAGCCCCTGGCACGGTGACCAAACCCGGTCACCACGTACCCACGTGAAGGGCGTTGTATGGCGTTATCACGTCCCGATCCGATAACGAATTTTAGGGGGTTTGACAAGGCCACTGCTCTTCTATTGCTAGCATTATACCTCGTTGCTAAGCGCACTGGAATATGCCGAATTGACGATAGAACGGTGCATGAGACATATAGCTGGGCCAGCGTTCATACGCTGGGGCTGGGTCCCAGGCCGCAAAAGCTCAATTTGGCTGTGGTGGGTATGGGCATATCGTGGCGGCGACCGTCTTTTCGAGAATCTGGACCATTGCATTGCCAGAAAGCCACAATGAAGCATCGCAGCTCCGACATAGAGTCTGATGGACGTCGCTGCTCCGATGCTCCTCGACGTTATGAGAACGAGAGCTAATTACCGCCTTCCTCGTTGGGCCCCATTGTTCGCGGACCGCCCAGCCATCAGACCTACAACCTACGCAACCAGCCCCCGTCCCCTTCGCTGTCCTTTTCCTGCCTCATCCTACCATATCTATGAAACAGACTCTGCCTGTTGCCTCCTCCATACCCTCTAACGTCCACGAGCTCGCGCCTATGGCGACCCAGGCAGCCGGACCGAGAGCGTCGACAAATGCCACCGTCATGCTCGTGATCGAGACGCAGAAGCGTTTTTATCTTGCTAGCATCCGGGTTGCAGACTCGGAGTCCGGCCAGGCCGTCGTGAAGCGGATCCGGGCCAAGAGGGACGAGGTCACCAACCGAATCGGCCTCTCCGGGTCGCTCCACGACGTCTTCTGGGAGCAGATCATCAACACGGCGACTGTGTCGACGGTACGCAAGCCGACTCCGCCCCCGCACTAGTGGCTGGCCGGTTACTGACCGCTCCACGTAGTTCCGCTTCGTCGACCTGGAAGACCAGTCAATACCTCTAGAGGTTATCATCCGCACCCGCGAGCCCTTCCCCGAGCTCACCTCCGCATACGAGCATCCTAGCCTCCTCGACCCCAGGGAATCTTTTGTCCAGCAATACCCAGACCTCGTAGGCGCTTCCACTCATAAGGCGTTGCTTGTGGGGCCCAAGCTGAAGGAACACGTAATTCTGGGATTTTCAGTCGCTGGTTTGCTTATCGCCGTGGCCATAGGGGTCGTGGTTGGCATCTTTACTTCTAACGTTGGCGTCGGCGTTGAAGCTGGGGTGACTGGCGCGATTGCGGTGCTTGTCTCATTATCGACTTGGATGTCAAAGTGAGGTTTTTCTAGAAGGGAGGATAGATAGCCTGGCTGACATGCTCTTTTCTCTTTGTTAGGCAGTGAGAGCAATTAGCGACAGCGATGACGACGAGAGACTAGACGCAGGCGTTGTCTAAATGGACAGCCTTGCTACTTTAGAGGGTATGAAGCTGGGTGAGATGTAGATAAGGAGTTTAACCTACTATAACCCTTCTGGCTGAACTTCTAGTCAAACCCACCTTTCCAGCTCTCCTGCATTTTCGGCGACGATTGAAAACGCGCCACCTGCAGGTGCACACAGGCCAATATTCTCTTCGTTCCGTCCGCTCAGAAACTGCACCGGTGTCTGCTGTTCCGTTTCGACGCGTGTCTGGATCTTGGTTCAGTGCTGGCTCCTCCACAGTCAATTTTGAGGATTGGGCGACTCGCTCGAAAAATCAGATTGGACTTTAGCCAGCCTTAATCACGTCGCAGGCGAGAAGTGACCCCTCAGAGCCAAGCACTGATGAGCTTGAGGGTGATGGTGGCTGCGCTGAGCTTCCTGCAGTGGTGGAGGGGTGGCATCCCAATACTTGGTTTGGCCAATGAGGAGGCTGTGTCTCGACTCAGCTTCACACTACCGTTCCACCAATGCCGGATCGGGCAGCGCATACCTTGGTGGCGATGTGATCTAGACCGCCTCGGCCCGTTCGGGACGAAGCGGCCGTTCTAGAAGACAGACTAGTGAAGAATACCAAGTCCTTTATGGAATATTGAGTCTACATTTGTAGTAATTAGGTCACACTCAGCTTGAAGCTGCAATGTGTCAGGCTTCGTCGATTCTTCTTCGGCCATTCATATGGCCACTAATTATATAAACCCGAACCAGGTCGCAGGCAGGTCCAACACACAAGCCGGTAATTACCAGAGCCCATCCAAGATACCTAACCACTGCAACATTCCCGAGTCAAAATGGGACCGCCTGAAGGATACTCTCAGGGACAAGTCAGGGAGGGCATGTCCATTCCGGGCCGGATTCGCTTCACCAACCGCACCGACACCAAGGCAATTGTTACCAAGTGCAGTGGATACTCCAACGGCTCGTATCCTGCGCTGGCATGGAGCGGCGAACCATGCACCGGGTCTGTCCAGACTGGTGTGATGGAAAGTGCGTATCACAACCACATATCCAGGCTTAGTTGAGCGCTGACACGATGCACGATGCCAGTCCCGCCCGAGTATGAATCGACTTGGATCAAATTTTCGCTGGGCCTTCCTCGTATCGACAAACTCTTCGTGACCATTTATGTCGGCAATCTCAACTCTACCGGACCGAACGTGAATACCAGGGACGTCCACTTTGTGTTTCACGACACCAGTGGCGAAACGGCCTTGTACGACCATTACAAAGATAAAAAGCACTTTGAGGTCAAGGTCGAAACGTCTAACAACGAGAGTACGTTACTTGAGACTCTTGGACTTCTCCGTCACTTCTCCACCCCTGGTACTGACAGATGCTAGCGCACTGGATTCTGGACTGGAAGGACAAGGCAGCATTTGACAAGATCGACTGGAGCGCCGATGAGAGGTGGAAACCCTACTCTTCTGTGGAGACCCTTGCCCTGGGTGCTTCTGTCCTCCCTGTATATGACACGGTTGGAGGCCATGCGAGGATGTTTTTCGGCCCCAAAGGTGTCGACAACGCCAATCCAGATGGGATTCCTATCAGGGTCCTGCAACTGGACGACTACGGCCTCGAAGTCTCGTTCCGCAGAGTCACATGGCCAGCGCCCATCATTGATCGACTCGGGGATACTGTCAAGGTAGTCTTGCAAGGCTATTTTCAACCGCACGACAGCAATGCTCCAGAGTCGGAACCCTGCACCGGGGATGTGCCACTTGAGCTGTCTTTCTCTCAGAGCAGCTCCCGGACGCAGATACAACTGAAACCGGCGAGACAGTATCTTCCCTGGGGTCTTCGTGGTAGGATCTGCTGGTCCCTTCTCCTGTCGGATTTCGACAACCACCGTATGCAGATCGGCGAAAGTCCCGTCGAGCTCTACTTTGTCGCGTCGGCTCAGCTTCCGGAATTCCTGTACCGTGGCATACCAGTCGGTCTCTTCCGGAAGTTCCTGCTCCCGCTCCGCCTCATGAGCGAGGACGACGACATCGGCAAGTTCAATGACGACGCATCCGAACGAAGAATCGGCGACGACGAGAACGGCTGGCTGGTCTACGTGACCGAGAAGCTGCACTTTCAGAAGAACATCTGGTACGACTCTCTCCACGGCGGAAGCTGGCACTACTTCTCTGGTGGTGCAGCGCCGCTCCATCTTGATCACTGGGTCGACGATTGCGCCGAGAAGGAGAAGCACACCATCAACTGCTATGATCTTGCCGGGTTGACGCACGCGATTGTGCCGCTGGGGCTTCGGAGCGCCGACCGCTACCTGCAGATGAAGCGCATGCAGCCCTTCGGCTACATCAAGAAGGCGCAGCTGATCGGCCGAGGAGTGTCAAACAGTCCAATGTCCAACGGTACTCCGGTGGTGTTTTTCCGCGAAGAAAACGATGTGCGGCGCACAGCCTTTGGCACCCATGTGTTCATGACCATCGCCGAACGGAAAGGAGCCGCCGAAATGGTCATGGACGCGACTTGTCGGCCCTTGTCGGGCGGGCCGCATGCCGGCCGAGAGACGCTGGCCGAGTATATCAAGAACTCGATCGACCACACCACAGAGCTGTATCATGTGCCGGACAGTGATCTGAAAGAGGCCGGGATAAGCCCAAAACGCCTCGGTGTCCTGCGTGAAGGGAAGTACCCGAACCCGGTAAATTGGGTTGGTGTCAACAAGCTGGCCACGCAGCCCGAGATCTTCTTTCCGGAGCTACGCCACGACTCGGCTGGTGCAGAAGACAATGTTCTAGCCAATGTCGATGAAATCTTTGCGGGCTGGGACGCCTGCGATCCCAACTTCGTGGTGAACTCCAACAACCTGTCGGCAACCTGGTGCATGATGAAGGACGGCGAGTGCCTCAACCTTCGCATCTCTCGTTGCACACTGGAGGCTGATGCACGCGAGCTATATGCCCAAGCCAAGGACCGGCTGACCCAGCCGGGCCAGGGCACGATCCTGACAGACGAGTACGAAGAGGCCCCCAAGGACATCCAGGTGGCGTGGAAGAACAAGCACGTGGACCGCAGCCACCTCGCCGTTTCTACGGATAACAGCGGCGTCATCCTCTGGACCCAGGGCCCGCTTTTTGTCATGATAACCAAGGACAGCCGCGATGACCTTGCCGAGTATGTTAAGAAACTGCAGGATTTGATCAGCAACTTGAAAGCCCCCGAACCTCCAGCGCTCAAGGTTGAAGGCGAGAGTGCCGGCGAAATTCCCAGAACGTACAGGGTTGGAGAGACCTTCGACATCAAAGTCAGCAACTTGGTAAGTCGTGCTCGAGTCGGGAGGCTGCAGCTGCAAGGTGGAATTCCAAACGCCCGCAGGCAATTAATTAACCGATTAATAGCCCGAGGAAATGATTCCCCTTAACGTTGATATCGAGAAAACGGTAAGTATCTCCACCCAATCAGACGATGTACAATTACAGTTTATTAATGATCAAGCATAGAAAGTACTTTATCTCTCGTCGTCCAAGGCAGGCGACACAGCAACGTTCAAGTTCTTGGCTCGTGCTCGGACTGACAAAAACGACACGATCAAGTTTAGCAGATTCGATGCCAACATGAAATACTGGCAGGCTGCCGCCACGGTGTCTGTAGAGATAGTATGAGTGGCTTTACAACACGCGAATTAGTTTGCTTTCGAGATAGTTTCAGGGGAGCTGTTCAACTTGGGCCGGAGCAGCGCCTTGATTAATTATATCGTGGAATTATCTAGTTATCCTCACATCAGTTTACTAGATCGACTTTAAGCTAGGAATAATTTAATTATCCTCTCATTGAGTAGAAAAGATTGGAAGGGAAATACACCACTAACTATAATCAAGAGCTCCGTCGTCGTGTGGCTCTTGTTATTCTTGTCCACAATTCCTACCCTTGCTCTCTCTCCACCTATTCCCTCTCATACACGCGCACCTTCTCTTATAATTAATCATAGGATGCCACCCGTTGTTCACAGACCGCACCTTCCCCCATTGCAAACCAACAACCCGCCACCACAATCTTCATCAGTGGCACAAGAAGCGCCTGTAGCACCTGGTCAGTGTCTGTCTAATTACTAAATACTTCCCGGAGGGGTAGGTCGCAAAGAGCAACGGAACGTACCAACACAGCCAGCATCTGCGCATGGAATTCCACTGGCTTCCGGTTCCGGTGTGGTGCACTGTCCATTATAGCAGGCAAGGATGTCATCACAGTCCTCGTGGACAACGCAGGGATCTCCTGGAAGCGTAGTAGTTGTGTTAACATGCGGCGCTTTCAAACAGCACTCGGCCCTGTACAATAGGGAGAAGGAGGGAACTTACCAAGACAATGACCCGGAAACTCGCAAGTAGCCGAGGGAGTCGTTGTCGGCTCGGGGATGACCGGCGCCGGATCTTCATCCGGGATAGCACACTGCCCCGCAAGACAAATCCAGTCCATGTCGCAGTCATTTTCGGTCTTGCATTTATCGCCTAGATGGTTCTCATTAGCACATGTGCCAGCTGTCTTATATGCCGTTGCAACGGGCTAAGTGGCAGATTGGGAGCTTACCGAGACAATGGCCAGGCCACACGCAGGCCGTCGTAGGCGTCGGTTGACTAGACAAACTGGTTGTACTTGGGCGATCAGGTATAATGGTTACGGTTGGTCGATCAGGTATAATGGTCACGGTCGATCGATCAGGTATAATGGTCACGGTTGTTCGATCGGGTATAATGGTCACGGTGGTGGTTACGGTTGGTCGGCCAGTCGGCACTGTCGGTAGTATCGTGAAGATGGGCTGGGTGGTCGGATCTGTAAAGGGAGGTCCGCCTTGTGATGCATACCGGCATTGGCTGGCGATGCATATCATGTCGCCGTCACAGTCGCTGTAACCCTCACAGGGATCGCCTAGACGAGTATGAGTGTGTGGACTGAGAAGAGGGCAGGATAGGTACTTACCATAGCAATGCCCTTGCCAGCCACACAACTGCCTGGCAACAACCTCAAGCGTCGGGGCCTGCTTTGCCAGGACCTGGGCTGCAATGGACAGCCCAGCAACGAGACTAGAAGACCTCATTATTGCGGCAGCTTGGTCCAAACTAATTAAACGATGGTTGATGGAGGATGGAGATGCAATCCCCAGGATGACCCTTCCCCGTGCAGTGAGCTAACCATGTCTTTATATCATGATCGACTCCGGAACTTTCCCAAAGGGAGGTGTCATCCCAGCATATTTAAGCTCATCGTATAATTAAAGGGTAGTGCTTCTCATTTCAAGCGCGTTAGCTCCGAACCAGAGAAGCCAGGCAGAAGCTGGGGTAGTGAGGAGCCATTTGCGGTTTAATTTGTTTCCCAGCAATGGAATTCTAATTAGAGCTTAGGACGACAGCTCCGAGGAGTAACCATCTGGTTGGCTACCTAGCCATGCAGCCGCGATGCCCCCCTTTTAGCCAGCGGGGGGTGGTTCATGCCGGGCGGGGCATTAATTGGCACTCTATCGCTTGCGGTAGAGCCCAGAATATCAAAAGCCAATATTGTAATTAGAGAGAAGACTAGAACGCATGAAAAATAGTTAAATTAACTATAGTTATATACCCATGGAAACTCGCTGTGCTATTTCCGCTTCTACCACTCAGCCCCTGGACGAAGTTTTCCAAATCTAGCCCAGCCCATCATGTCGTCCACCTGGCACAGGGGGGTTTCGAAAGCTACTACAATGAAGAGCCACCAAAACTCGAGGACTCGGCTGACATATACGAGGCGCTTTGCGAGCGATTAGAAGAGCTGGGTTATCCTCCCGAAGCATGAAGAATCGCTGTCCATGTAGACTAGGGCTGTCAAGAGCTGGAAATGTTTGGATCTGGGATAAAGGAACTGGAGAGAAGCCACATGGGTTCCTGCAAGCTACCCCCAGACTTGTCTCTTTGCCGTCTTTATAGCACGCTTCACATGCTTTCAGGAGGCGGCAGCTCTCCAACCAGGTCGCTATTTACACGCCGTAGTATCCACCTCCCTGCCAACACTGAGTCATGGCATGGTAGTCCGTGTAGGTGGTGTATTGGGTATGCCTATAGGAACGGATGACATGTCAGTTGAGAGGTTCTGGTTTCCTGTTCGCAATACAAATATTAGGCAATACATACGCTACCCAGACGGTGACCCAAGTATTGTACGTCACGTAGTGAACTTCGTGGTCCGTCTGTGGCGGTCCTTGATAGTATAGCGTGACAGTCGATTGGCTCTCGTCTCCATCGCAGACCGTCTGCTCAGGTGGAATGCTAAGACTGTTTAGTAACTGGGGCATCATGCGGCGAACCGGGGAAGGCTTACAAGACAGACGTGATGACGTGGTATGCTGCAAAAAGTGTTAGAACACATCCCAGCGAGCCATGCTGGGGGATCACTTACCATCTTCCGTGGTAGTCGGGGCTGGTGCGATCTCGGTGACAGTACTTGTCTCGGTATACGATGTCTCGAAGACTGTGCTGGTGATAGCCTCCGCAACAGCCAGGGCTCTGGGAACTGCTTGATGTAAGTAGACGTTTCCGAAGATCCCAACCATGGGGCAAGTGCCACTTACCCAGGGCTAGCTGCGTGGCTGCCGGAGCTACTGTCCCAGCCTCTGGCGGTCGGCTAGTCCGCCCACCTCCGCCGCCGCCTCCGCCTCCGCCTCCTCCCCCGCCTCCTCTCTCACCGCCATTCCCTCCGCCGTTTCCTCCTCCGCTATTGCCTCCTCCGTTGTTGCCTCCGCCATTCCCTCCCCCACTATTACCACCACCAGAGCCCCCGCTCCCTCCGCCACCCCTTCCACCGCCACCCCCTCCATTGTTGCCTCCACCATTGCCTCCCCCATCATTGCCTCCTCCACCATTACGCCCCCCACCATTGCCTCCTCCATTGTTGCCTCCACCGCCACCCCCTCCATTGTTGCCTCCACTGTTCCCTCCCCCGTTGTTACCTCCACCATTGTTACCCCCACCGTTACCACCTCCTGAGCCACCTCCTCCTCCGCCGCCTCTCTCACCGCCACCTCCGCCGTTACCTCCCCCGCCGTTGCCACCCCCTCCGTTGTTACCTCCACCGTTACCCCCGCCGTTGTTCCCTCCACCATTGTCACCTCCTCCACCACCTCTCCCACCGCTACCTCCTCCGTTGCCTCCGCCGTTGCCACCGCCGTTGCCTCCCCCTCCGCCGTTGCCACCGCCGTTGCCTCCCCCTCCGTTGTTACCACCGCCGTTGTTCCCACCGCCGTTGTTCCCTCCACCATTGTTGCCACCGCCGTTGTCACCTCCTCCGCCGCCTCTCCCCCCGTTACCCCCGCCGTTGCCTCCCCCACCGTTGCCTCCCCCGCCATTACCCCCACCGTTGTTACCACCGCCGTTGTCACCTCCTCCGCCGCCTCTCCCCCCGCTACCTCCCCCGTTACCCCCGCCGTTGCCTCCCCCGCCGTTGCCTCCCCCGCCGTTGCCTCCCCCGCCGTTGTTGCCTCCGCCGTTGCCTCCGCCGTTGCGGCCTCCACCATTATCACCACCACCCCCGCCGCCTCCACCACCTCCACCGCCTCCACCTCGGCTGGTGGTTGGCTGCTCTCGCTGGCTACTGGTTGAGCGGGTGGGCTGCTGGGTGGTTGTTGGTCTGTTTCCTCCTCCTCCTTCACCACCACCGCCGCCGCCACCGCCTCCACCGTCACCTCCTCCACCCCGGCTAGTCGACTGCCTAGATGACGTTGGCGGTTCCCTCTGGCTGCTCGTGGTTGGCCGGTCCGGCTGCGTTGTCGTTCGGCCGCCGCCGCCACCACCGCCACCGCCGCCGCCGCCGCCGCCGCCTACGCCGCCACGCTCCGAGCTCGTCGGCTCCGGGTTGTCGGTCAAGCAGGTAATGCCCCGGCAGGAAGTGTAGCTTACTCCCTCGGTGGACGAGCTGGTGATGGTCGTGATCGGCCGGTCTGGTTGGGTCGTCGTTCGACCGCCACCACCACCTCCACCGCCGCCGCCACCACCGCCGCTGCCGCCGCCGCCGCCACGCGTCGGCTCGGGGTCTTCGGTCAAGCAAGTGATTCCACGGCATGAAGAGTAACTTACTCCCTCGGTGGACGAGCTGGTGATGGTCGTGATCGGCCGGTCTGGTTTGGTTGTCGTTCGACCGCCACCACCACCACCGCCACCACCACCACGCGTCGGCTCTGGGTCTTCGGTCAAGCAGGTGATGCCCCGGCATGAGGAGTAACTTACTCCCTCGGTGGACGAGCTGCTGCTGGTCGTGCCGGGGAACGAGAAAGTCGGGTCGGGAGTCCTAGAGCTGCTTTGGGTTGGGCGATCGGACGTGGACCTCGTGATGGTGATGGTGGTCATGCCCGACGAGGTGGGGTCGCAGGGGCCGGCTCCACGACAGGAGGTGTAGGAGGAGCCGGGAGGTGGGGCAGATGGAGAGGAAGAAGAGTCTGTGGGGCGTGTGGTCCTGGTAGGAGTATCGGACGAGCGAGTAGTTGGCTGCCTCGTGGGAGTGTCTGGCTCGCAAGGACCAGTTCCACGGCAAGATGTGTAAGACGAACCAGGGGGCGCGACTGTACTATCTGTAGGGCGCGTCGTCGGCCTGTCCGTGGAGCGAGAGGTTGGCACGTCGGTGGAGCGTGTGGATGACCTGCTGGTGGGACGCGTATCGGTAGGTCGGGTGTCCGTTGGTCGGGTCTCCGTTGGTCGCGTGTTACTGGAGCTGGGTATAGTTCTATCAGGTTGAGACGACGTGCGATAGGTAGTCGTGGTGCGAGTCGTGGGACGCTGCGTCCTCGATCTCGACGTACGTCTGGTACACGACCAACCTCCACCGGTAAACCATGACTGATCGCCGTTGCTGCACTGCCGAGACGATTGCGATTGGGGCGGTGGAGCGCGGTCCGAAGTCGGGCGGACCCGAGTCTCAGGCCAGTGACAGGAGGCCCACGATTCAAGAGTGGTGTCGTAATATTGCGTAACAGCCCCATTAGTCTCTACCCTCTGGATGGTCGTGTACACCGTTGTCGTTTCGCCTGGTATGTACTGCACGATAGTCTGAGTAGGGACTTCACACTCCTGGGTAACCGTACCCGGTTCGGCAGTGAAAATATCCGTCTCGTAGATGTCGTTGGTGATAGCTATGGACAGGTGAGATCAGTCTATGGCAATCCGAGACCGAGTGTGAATTTCTTACTTGTCGCTTCTGGAGTGCTCGTCACACCGACGACCACGGTGGGGACCACCTAGGAAGACGTTTAGCTTTGCCCATGTTCGCTCTAGACTGGGTGTTTGTGTCCCTGGATATATACGACATACCGTGACAGTGACAACATCGGCAGCACCGACTGTCAGTGTAAAGACGCGCTCAACGGCGAAATCGAAATCTTGGGATTGGATGATGACGGACCACTCCCCAGATGTCATTTCAGAGAAGCGGATATCGCTAAACAAAATGTCAATTATTACTTGATCGGGCACGACGGCAAGGGGTCAATCCAGAAACCCGGCAGCACTAACCATTGCGATACCTGGTCGGTGTCGTCCGGCTGCGTCGCAATGTCAGTGCACGAATAGTCATTACCGTCGGGATCGATAAGGATTGGAGAGATGTCAGTGTCATCGCATCCTATGGCTGGATTAGTTGACCATTCTTCTGCTTCGAATAAACATAGTGTGAGTTTCCTGACCCGAGAAAGCCGACGTGAAGACGAAGTAGTCATCGGAAGTGCCGTCGATGAGGTAGGAGCCACCGTTCGTGTAGTCCAGTCCGGTAGAGCTGCATTCCTGTGCTTGCGCGAGCGATACACAGGACGCGAGCAAGGCGGTATAAAAGATCAAACCACGCGCCATGTTGAAGAGAGGGCACCCGAGTATCACAGGCACACGCACACGCTGCTGGGCACGACCATTTGCTCAAAAGGGCGTATTGGCTGCTGATCATATATGTTAAGGGGTAAGGGGTAAGGGGTACGGGGTACGGGGTACTAGACTACTATATAATAACAGCAAGCCGTCCATCGTCCTGGTGCCATGCGCCATGTTGGCATCCGTGCAGTTCCAATTACCTGGCTGGGTTCTTCATAATGTTTGGGCCCCTTTGTCAAATATCAAGATATGGGCCGATAGGCTGATGCCCTTCATCTATTACTTTAGGACTTCGGCCGTGGACCCCAACTAGGGATTCCCAATTCAGCCTGTACACTGTTGGTGGTGGCTGCTTCGGTTTAGGCAAAGGAGGGATCACCTCCACGGCCGGGGCACGGGACAATATCTCGGCGATCGTGACTGCCGAGACCAATGTGGGTTGGCGCCTCCTCGGTGACTTGCGAGAGAATCAATGCTGTCGTCATTACCCCCTCCTCCCGGCCCCCCACCATGGCCAATGAACCTGGAAACCCCATACACTCCCCATACACAGGTGGGCTGCAAGTCGAGTGACAGCGGAGATTATATTCCCCAACATTTCTAAACTTGGAAATCCTCAGACCGTTTTTGTCCACAGGGACGGCTAAGAGTGGGGAAATCCCGCCTGATGGGATCGCATTACGTGCAACATCAATTATGAAAACAACAATCAATTAATAATTATTATATCCGTGATATGGCACAGTATCAACATTATATAGCCATGCACACAACCTTAAAACTGACCACGCCAAATCCCATTCCCGGGTCCAACAATGACCTCCATCTGAGGTAAACTGAGCTAATTATAGGGTAGCCTGAGCTGCCCAGGGCCATCTCAGGGTAAACTTGATGGGATGGGTGTGATCCTGAGCTTTGCAGTAGATCCCTACATCTATTGTGTTCTTTCTCGGCGGAGCAATAATTAGAACGCCACTGCCATTCCCGAAGAGATTACACGGCAAGATACCGCTCGAAAATTCAGGCTCTCTTCCAGTCCCTGTTTAGTCATTGATTCCAGCCAGCGGTAGCTTGTTGAATTAAAGAAGAAGAAGAAAAAACGACAAAGGTGAGCTCAGCACGTGGCAGGAGCAAATAGGTAAGGTTAGGGAGAAGACCATTAGGGAGGGGGTTGAGCGTGAGGGGCCATGTCGCCAAGATTAAGGACCTACCACGTGCCACCGATTCCGAGCTGTGATCATGACTACCTACGGAATAGACTGTTTCTCTTCCAAACGTAGGTGCAGCGGGCCGCGATTAGCACCGCTGCACTGATATGCACAGGGAGCTTGGTCCTCGGAAAGAGAACACCCTGTGGTAGTATTTCTTGGACAGGGCCGCTTCCGATTCGTCCATTGCTGATGCAACTTCGTCTATCTCCCCTGCCCATTCTTGCGAGGTATGAGGCGAGAGGCTTTTCACTCGACACACCATTGGAGTAAACCGCGACGGCCTTGCATTGCCAACAAGCAATTCATGCACCGGGGAATTTTCCTGGCAAAGGCGGGGAACTCGATTTTCCTTCGTTGGCGAATCAAGAGATGTTGGCCCATTCTTATCAATAATCCATGCATCAATCCCTTGTAAGGCCCTTGGGACTCGTCGATGAGTGTGTGGGGGGCCATATTGTTGAGGCCTGTAATTAGCTATAATAAAGCAGAGCAGCCCCTCCTTGCTGGAGGGGGTGTGCGTGTCCAGCGTGCATCCCAACACATATCTCAGAGCAATTCAGACCCACAAACATGTCAGCCGCCGACCAAGGTCACATTCTGGTGCCTGACGAAGAAGAGGTTTTTATTCCGGGCTCCAAGTTGAAATCGTATGATTGGAATTGTATGAACTGACTGGAGACCCAGGTCGTCAACGATAGGGATTCCGCAATCAGACAAGTACGAATAGCCGTCTCCTTCAAACAGCTCTTTCGCCTTATTGAGCAGACGGGCAGATTACTGACCGATGTCATCCATTTGCGGTAGGATACAGCATCGTCTACTCAAAGCGTAACAAGCTCCATTCTCGACTACCGACGCGAAAACGGGAGGACGTATCACCGCTACAAGGACGGAAGTGGGTTGTTCATCCCGCAATGTGTCTGTCCGAGCTAACCATGGCTGCGACGGGTTGTAATTAGAATACAATCTGCCTAATGATGACGCAGAAAATGAGAGGCTAGGTATGATACTTGTATTTTGGTCACCTTGGACATGACGCTTATCAGACATAGACCTACAGCATCATTTGTTCCTTCTTACTTTCAACGACAAGCTCGGCCTTGCTCCACCAAACAACCCCGAATCGAAGGTCGGCCGAGTTCTCGACTTGGGCACGGGCACGGGAATCTGGGCGATGGACTTTGCCGACGACCATCCGGCAGCCAAGGTGATCGGCATTGATCTCTCTGCTACTCAACCGACATTGTAGGACTCAACGGAACGGAACCAGTCCAATCTGTGCTCGTGCTTAAAATATCTAACGAGAGACCAGTGTCCCCCCGAACGTTGAGTTTTACGTTGACGATATCGACGAGGAGTGGAATTACTCGCAGCCCTTTGACTATATCCATAGCAGGATGATGAACTTCAGCGTTAAGAGCTGGCCAGATTACCTCACCCATTGCTTTGAGTAAGCCCGGACCATGATTAAATCTTCTGGCTATTAATTAGCAGTCCTAACCCGCCCCTAGGAACCTCACCCCAGGCGGCTATGTTGAGTTGCAGGAGATAGGCATCTCCGCCAAATCTGACGATGACACCCTCAAGGATGACCACACGCTCTCCCAGTGGCTCAAGTACCTGCACGAAGCATCCGTCAAACTGGGCCGAGAGTTTAAGGACCTTGACAACTTCAAAGACATGATGCGCGATGCTGGGTTTGTCGACGTGGTCGAGACCCGTTTCAAGTGGCCGTCAAACGGCTGGCCGAGAGACAAGAGAGACAAGATGCTCGGAAAATGGAACAATGAGAACATGGCCACCGCTCTCGAGGCAGCCACAATGGCACCGTTTACGAGGGCCCTTGGTTGGAGCAAGGAAGAGGTCACTGTCTTTCTCACCGATGTGAGGAAGGACCTGAACAACCCGGCGATTCACGCTTATTGGCCAATGTAAGGGCATTGATTATCTTGCCTCTGTAGGAGGATCTATCTTGTGCTAACAGCGTTGCAGATTTTCGGTATATGGAAAGCGGCCGGAGAAGTAACTCCAAATCTTGGGCAGTCCAACGCCATGGGTTTCCTGCGCAGATTCCGAAAACGGACACAAAGGGGCAAATACCAAATATTTGTGAAGTGGTGGTGTGGTGTTCTGATATAGATCAGATTAAGTCAGAGCAGCATTGAGTTTCATTTGAATTTCCAGCCAAATCCATAATTACTTCAGATGAAGCCATCTCTTTCTTCTTGATGATTAAGCAGGCCAAGAAGATAGGTTGGATTGTTGACCTCCACTGGTGGAACCCTACAAACACTAGCTAATAATAAGGGGCCCACGAGCAACGCACCGATTTGCGTTTTGCCAACAGTTTAATTAAAGTCCATGATAAGCGAGAACGGTGCAGGGTTGCAAAAGTAACAACCTGGAGTCCTCCGTGGCGCAATTGGCAGCGCGTTAGACTGTTACCAAAAAATAGCAATCTAGAGGTTGGCGGATCGTACCCGCCCGGGGGAGTTCTTTTTTGTGTTTTTTTTTGTTACTTCTTCCTGGCGGACCATTCCGTTTACCGCGAAATCTGCTTCGAAGGCAGTTGAGGGGTGAGTCGGGAATATTTCCAAAGGGTCGTCGAATATAACTACCGCTCGGTTCTCGCCAAGCCGGCTCACACGTCCCGGACGCAGGTGTTTCGACCTGAGTTAGGTGCAATGTACGGAAAGAGAGATATTGGCTAGGCAGTGAAAACTATGGCGGGGTATTTATCCTCAGGAATATCAAGGGATATGTCATTGAATCTCAGACCAAATGGTATTTAGGTAACAGTCAAGGATGACCTCGTCCCTTTTCCTCTCGATTCCATATTCCCTTTCATTATACCTCGTCTACTTCTTCATCATCCACTTCTTTCCCTTGTCCATTACTGCCGCCACGACTAGATATCATTGTGGTAATTCGGGGCTAACTGCCAACTGGCCGACCGAATCCTCTCGCCGTAGAGCCGCAACCACACCATTGGCAGCAGGAAGACGATGTTGATCAAGGAGAAAACCAGCCATGCGTATTGGAACTCGATCTTCTCCGCCAATGGAACACTTTCACGCAGATCGTCAGGACACGTCCTAGTCAAATTCCGGGGTTGGGAACACGGGAGAACTTACGCGTAGAAGGAGATGAGGGCGCTGAAGACCTGCCGGAAGAGGTTCAGGACGCTAGAGATTTCGGGGCTTTGCGGCTTGTAACACTGGTAATGGGGGCATCAGCGGACTCTCCTCTAAAAAAAAAGGGGGTGCCAAACAAGAAGAAGGACACCGATGGGCAGACGAAAAACTCACATCAGTGCAATACGTATAAACCACCGTTGTGGCCACCTGCAAGCCCAGGCACGAAATGCCCATGCCAAACGCGTTACCGACCCAGCTCGTCGTCTTTGCGTGGCTGATGCAGACTCCCTGGATGATGGTCCCGATCGGGAGGAGCAAGGCAAGCCATAGTGCGTCCAGCCGCGGCTCGGGACTTCGCTTTCCTCCGTTCCGTCTGGAGTGCTGATACACCAGCCAGTCCGTGAACCAGCCGGCGTTTGCCTCGCCGATGAGACATCCGATGAGGAGCGGGATACTGAGGATCAAGCCCGTCTGCGCGACGTTGAATCCGTAATGTTCACGGAAGACGACCGAGCCGGTGGCCGCTTGGGAGGGCGCCTGAGTTAGCAAACTAGCAACCCCAACGAGCCAGTGAGAGAGGAATATGCCTACCGAAGATGACCGTGCCATATCCGAAAGACGTCATGTAGTAGATGGCGGGGATCGTGACGCAGATATACCGTAGCATGGTGAATGGCCGGGCGAAGTCGCGTGGACGGACCTTCCGCTGAGGAAGGTGTTTAGAGCGGAAGAGGAGAAGGTCGAGGCGAGAGCTCTCGGGAGAAGCATTACCCGGCGAGTCTGGTCGGCGACTGTAGAGGGTCTCGGGGAGACAGAGGAGGTTGACAACGAATACAGCCAGTTGGATGAAGGCCGGGATCCTGAAACACCATCTCCAGCCAAGGTTCTGAGCAATGAAGCCTCCAATCAGGGGCGCAATATGCGGGCCGTTCGTCAAGAAGAAGGTGTAGACTCCCATGTAAAGGCCTCTCTCGTGGAGGAAGTACAGGTCGCAGATGGTTGCTGCTCCAATCGCGACGGTGCTACCGGCCCCGATACCGTTGAACACGCGCGTCGCCAAAATGCCCGACCAGGTTGAGCAGTAGCCAGCCGCGACGTTTGTAACTGCCGCGAGGAGGTTGCCACCGAGATAAACCGGTCGACGCCCGTACGTGTTCGCGAGGGGGACGATCAGAAGGGGCCCGACGCCGCCGAAGATGACCTGCACGGAAAGTCAGGAATTTTCCAAACGGGGTTGGTATTAGGAGGAGCCGCACGCACGTATATGGTCAACTCATATGAGGCCTCGACCGTAGTGATACCGAACGCTTGGCCGAGGGGCACGAAAGCTGGGTTGATGACTGCAGCGGACATGGGGCCGAGCAGGGCCAGGAACGAGACCTGGAGAAGGACCGAGAGCTTGAGTCCAAAGGACCAGTTCTGCAAGCAACCCGTCAGCGAGACCGCAAAAATAAGGAGTTGGGTTTGATCTGCCTCATCTGCCTTGAACATACCAGCGGGTCATCTTTTCGATCGCACGGCTGGGGGACAAGCGGTAGGCCATGCTTGTCCAACTTCAGCTCCGGGGCAGACTCGACGACGCCTGCATGGTCCGCCGCTGTTTTCTCTGAAGTCTCCATCTTGTCGTGGGGAGTGCCCGAATCCTTCATAAGTAGCCGGGGTAGAGTGGCGAAAGGATCCGTCCCAAGATATGGCTATCGTCCGTTATTTATTGGAAGAGACACGCGGAGCACAACTCCAATACCCCTAAGTGCCGACTCAAGCTAATCAATGACGATCCTTCTGAGACAGGGTATCTCCAACTAGTCCACCCCACACCCCAACGGCCAAGCCCAAGACGGGAAGATCAGCGGGCGGCATATGGGACGAGGCTCTAGCGCAGTCTGCATGTGGAAAGGCTGGTAAAAAAGCATGCGGGGGTCTGCCTTCATCTCGGGGATCTTAGGGGAAGGTTTCCTGGGAGGACCACACTTCTCTCACACAGGGACCACACTTCTCTCGCCACAGTCAAGAAGAAATTACCGGAGTACAGATTTCGTTGCAGAGCAGGGGTTGAGGAAACTCCCCGTGGTTCCCCGCTTCCGTTGTCCCAAAATAGCATGCAAGCAGCACGGGGTTCCTACCTAGTTATCGATAAGGGGTTCGGATGAAAAAAGGACAAAAAGAAAGAAGGGCAATCAATGTACCGTATGTATCATTGCAAAGAGACGCAATGCAGTTCAATCCAAGCCATTGATAAATGGGCGGATGAAGAGCACAGTCATCTTCTCATTCCCAATCTCGTTGCTACTACATATCCTGTGCGAGTTATGCGAGATGTGCGATGTGTCCAGGTTAGGTAGATGAAGATGCGGGGGGGAAACGGGAATAATAGCCCGCACGCAAATGGGCCGCCCCTATTCCCGGTTCCAGTTATCGATGCCAAGTGAAATATCGAAGACAGAAACCAAGACCCATTCTGGTGAGATTAAATGACATGGTCAGATTGAAGCCTGTCAACTGAAGCACTGTTTATCAGGTTATTCACCAGGGGTCCAGGTTGCTATGGAAACCCCAAACTCGGACTACATTTGCAAAAATTTCTGTCCTCGCAATCAAGTCCCCTGATGCATCGATTCAACACTCTGTAGGTGTGTGTTCCCGCGTCAAAGGAGGACCCGTTGCGGCAAATCTCCCATCAACAAGAAGAAATCATGGGTCCGGAACCTTGCTCGGCCCCCTCCTGCACCAAGCCCGGCGCGCGGGCCTGCACCGGATGCACGACTCCTCCTCCGGCCCGATACTGCAGCCAGGAGTGCCAGAAGCGAGACTGGAAGACCCACACATCGGTCTGTGGGGGCCGAAGGTACAACGGCTTCATGATCACGAACACCCCATTCGAGCAAACGACGTCGTCGCCGCGAATAATATCGGATTACCTCACTCCCTTCTACTTTCAGCGATATGGCCACGAGGGCGAGGAACGTAGAGAGTTGGAACAAAGACTAGGATGGCGGGAAGTAGCAGAGGTTGGGAAGTTCTACGACCATGAAGGCTCCGACACTTGGTATTATTATGTTTATGGGCCTGGCGGCGAACACGATCCCCCTTTGGGCCGGAACGAGATCGCAACCTTGTGCATAGGGGTGCAAACCTTCGGCGATGTCGTGGTGGTCCGATCTGGGCCGCTAGGCTCATCCTATCCGCCGTTGTTCTCGAAAGGAGAATTGGTGAAGACGGTCGAGTTTTCCCAGACTGCAAACCCACGCGAGGTGTTTCAAGCAAGGGAATGTTCGAGGTTCATGAGGTCGCTGCCTATCGGGATTGCAATCCCGCCCGGAGCGTTTTTCGCCTCCCTGTATTAAATACCTACTCAACCTCTTCTCCGTCGAGTCGAACATTAAATTCGTCAGAAGTCGAAACCACGGCTACGACGTCGGATGTATTTTGCTTCTGCTCTTCCACCGTCTCAATCATCTCCCAGAACCGAGTCGGTGTCTTGACCTTCCCGTTGTGTTAGGTTACTCTGTACGCTTGGCATCAGTGTCAAATGCCGTAGACCGTTATTTGCCCGGCTTGGCTGCAGAAACTTAGACACACCTGCCGCTTTGGTCTATCAATCTATCACGCGAAATCCTCCCTTGATTTCACAAAACCGGTATCTTCTGGGGAGGTGGATTTAATCCGCCAGTTCGCCGCATGGGTCCTATATATTTACTTGTCTCCCAAAGCAGCTCGGTTTTCCACCTACCATTTTGGTCCATCACGCAAGGTAATCTTGAAATCCTGTGATAATGAAAACTGGTAGACTTTGGTCCTCGGCACGTTGTATTATCGCGCGTGGCTATAATAAAGGACGACCCGTCCCTGAAGGGGGGTGCCCGCCCCCTTCGACGTTGGGTAGCTGCTTTGACGAAACATCTTGATCGTGCAGTTCTCCAGCCAATGAGTTTCTACTCCAGTGAAAAGAGTAGCGTAGCTCCCTGACACTCAAATGAGAACCCCAACGACCGTGATCGTCATTGCGGTGGCGATCGCCAACTTCACATCGGCAAAGGAGGTTGCCATAAATACAACATTAAAAGGAGAGCTCTTCGACAGTGGCGTGCGACACGAGCAGATCCTGGCACTCAAGACTGTAAGCCGGCCAACCGGCCAGCAAATGAATCCTCATGGATCGAAAGAGGAACTAACGACTGCCAGCAAATATGGGAGGAGTTGAGGCTGCAGGGCGTCTACGACTCCACCCAGTACAAGAGTTTCGACCGGAAGAAGGACTACGTAGCCTGCACAGACGGTGTTGCGGCGTACATCCCCGGCGACCCCAAGTACACCTTCAGGTGCAGCAATCTGGATCTGTACGACTTCAAGACCCACGCCGAACTGGGCATTTCCTCCGGCAGGGGGGCAGGCTCATGGGGATGGACGAGCCCAAGGGGACGGGAATTCATCGCCATCGCGCAGGAAGACGGCACGGCGTTCGCCGAGGTCACCAGCAAGGGCAAGCTTGCCTACCTCGGCCGGCTTCCGCAGTACACCACTGCCCCCATATCGCTATGGCGGGAGATCAAGGGGTACAAGAGCTACATCGTCATTGGCAGCGAGGCCGTGGACCACGGTATCCAGATCTTCGACCTGAGGAAGCTTCTCGACGTTGATCCGGCGCGCCCAGTGGTCTTCAGCAACGAGCATGATCTGGATGGGTTTTGGACAGAGGGGCTGCCCCTGGGCCGCTCGCATAACGTCGTCACCAACGAGGAGAAGAACTACGGGGTGGCGACTGGGTTTCAGCCTCGCAATGGGACGCTCCGTGCGGGTCTGGTGTTTTTCGACTTGACTGACGTGTCAAATCCCAAGACCTTGGGTGGCACTGGCGAGGATGGCTACGTCCATGATGCCCAGTGCATCGTGTATCGCGGTCCTGATTCCAAGTACTACGGACGGGATATTTGCTACGGCTATGACGAGGACTCGTTGACAATGTGAGTGTCCGTGACGACGTATCTTTGGGAGCCATAAGGTCTAACACCTCGTCAGCTTCGATGTCGCCGACAAGCAGAACATCACTATTATCTCTAACACGTCGTACGAAGGAGTTAGTTTCACGCACCAAGGCTGGGTTCTCGACCCCCGCTGGCAGCAATATCTCATCCTGGATGACGAATACGACGAGTACGATCAGACCGGCCTGGCAGCCGACGGCTATCCTATCTCGTACATCTGGGACATCAGCTCGCTTGAGGCTCCCAAGCAGACAGGGCACTACAAAGGTCTCAGGAAAGGCATTGACCACAACCAGTTTGTCAAGGACGGGTTCTCGTACCAAAGCAACTACGCCCTGGGCATCAGCATTCTGGATCTCAGGTCTGTTCCCTCTGACCCGACGGGCGGGGGGATCAGGGAGGTCGCTTATTTTGACATCCATCCCGAGGATGACCATCTGGAAGGCGGTGGCAATGTGACGTTTACGGGGACTTGGAGTCATTACCCATTCTTTCCCAGTGGATATATCGTGATCAACACCATGGACCGCGGTGCTTTTGTTGTGAAACGCTCCCACAAGCCGTGGTGGCGACAGTGGGATTAAAATGCTCAATAGGGGCACAATGTGGGAAAAGAAAGACCACCTAATTAGCAATCAGTTCTCATGTACACGCCTCCTGTTTGTGCTATCTCACACGAGGCGTCTTTTCCGCGGCCAGCCTGCTCGAGCTTTAGACCTTCAGGGCGTTGTGCAAGAGATCGTCTTCCGAGATGATGACTGGGATGCTGGCGGCATTGGAAACAGACAAGTCATGCCTTTATTCCAATTCCAGCCTCACTGTTGTTAGATAAGACAAATCTAGGCGCCTGCTTCCTAGCGTTACACATGTGGGAACTTGCTGCCTTTATGCAGGCTTGTTTAGGCTCTGCTTACCGTTGCTTACCCTAAACACCATTTTAGGCCAGATGGGAGTCCATCCCTGGCTGTCTATCATCCCGAGGAAGGGCCGTCGAGTACGTGAGGCTCTGAACAATCCGCCATTTCGAACAAGTGATTTGGCATCTCACTCGGTGTATCGATGTTGATCCAAGCATCTTGGCCTCCAATTCTCCCAATCGACATGCATCTCAGGGCATGCAAGCGCTTACGAGAGATACACAACCGACTTTGTGCCAGGCAAGTAAGATGATCGGCGCCAAAATACGGCCATGTGCTCATGATTGATTGGCCGGGTCACAATGCCAAAATCCTTCCGACGATGGAATAGGCAATGGAATGCGCCGGGATTTCTTGGCGTCTTGGGTGTCGTCCAGGTCCTGAATATGAATACCAGGCCGCAATCCGGTGCTTGGTCTCGATATCTCTAGAGAGAAACCCACAGAGCTCAGCCAAGAAACTCAAAGAACAAGTGAATTCGTTCACCCTCAAAAAGCACGCCGCAACCAAGAAATGAAGTTCTCCAATCTCGCTATGGCTCTTGGCCTCATGGCTTCCCACGCGGTAGCCACGCCTATCGACGACTGTGAGCCAGCCTCCTGTATCCCCGATGACCCCGTGTGAAGCGCTCCCAGCTACTGACGTCCCATACCCTTGCCGCTGTCGCCAAAGCCGTTGAGAGGGGCGAGCTGACAAAAGCTTCGGAGGTCTCTGAGCTGGATAGGAGGCAGTGCGCGGCCTGCGGTGTCTACCTCTGCGCCGGCAAGGATTTCACCGGCGAGTGCTACTGGGGCTGCTACCCACCGCGCACGCTGATCGAGGTGGACTCGTACTGGAGGACTCATATCGCTTCTGTTGGGCCGGACCGGGGCTGCTACTGCACGCTTGGTACACCGTATGTCGACCAGTTCTTACTCTTGATTTCGATGCTGACGTTGTGTAGCGAGCTGTCGTCCTGCCAGGGCTTTGAGTATCCTGGAGGTAACCTTGAGAAAAATGCCTGCTGGGGCAATGTAGGCAACTTTTACTGCGTGCCTACCTAAAGACCATGACGAAAGGGGGACTTCTTAGCTGGCTTTTGGGCTCTTGGAAACAGGCTGGATAAATAACCAAGCTAGAAATATCCCGTATGGCTACGATATGTTCCACAATGTGCCGGCTTGCCGACCGGGTTGTCCTTGATGTAAGCGGCAGCACAAGGCAGTGCTACCTACCACCTTGAAGATAAGTCCGCGGGATTGAGTCGTACGTTAGAATCGTATGGTATTTTCAGTCTTAAAAGTACCCACTGACCCCAGGCGCCTTATGCATCTAAGTAGTACCTGAAGAGTGCCTGAGCCAAGCCTATCCGTAAATAAGCGGAGATTGATTAAGCAAGCGATCGGAGTAGGTAGGCAAGGGCGTGGTTCGGGAGTTGCAACAGAGTACGTACTGTTGTAGAAAACCCCTATGTAAGCGAGATGATTGCCGACAGACAAACCAAGGTTATGAGTCTCGCAAAACAAAAAGCACTTCAATTGTGAGAAAGACCGCTTAGTTGACTGCCACTGGTTAGGAATATCAACTCTTTTAAACCAGAAACGACGAAGAAAGGCTTCCAAAACAAGGAAGACAGAGAGAGAAATGCACAGCATTGTCCTTTCGGCAGTTTCGATTCGCGAATAACTACCAGCCTGCCGTTTCCTGTCCGGAGTTTGGGCAATCCAATCTCAAGAGATCACGGCTAAATTTGTCGGGCCCGGAAAGAAGCAATAAAATACGGACCCGTCCTTTAAACCAGGACAGGCTGGGGTAAAAGTCAGGAGGCCCCTCATTTTCTCCGCTTTGGTTGTCACAAAAATGAGGCGACGACCTCGACGCCCATCCTTGCGACTAGACTGAAGAGCCAGGAAACCGCGCTCGACCCAGAAAAGAAGCCAGCCATGATCTCTTCAGTCTTATTGTTATGTGCGGGCCTCACCACCTCCCTCGCCTCAGCAGCATGCAGCCGAGAACTGCTCCAGGGGGCCACGGCGGCGTACCTCGAAGCCCAAGCCGCCGGACAGCCGAATATAACGGCTCTGGCCAGCAACCTCAGTTATGCAGAAAATGATACGCCTATGGACATCAGCAAGGGTGTTCTAGCCCAGCCCATCACCATCGACTTCAACCGCAGCATCTACGACACCACCGAGTGCGCCTCGTTCACAGAGCTGAACGCCGCCACTTCCAGCCATCCATATGTCATCCACACGCGGATGCTCCTCACTGGCGACAAGATCACCACCATCGAATCGGTTGTCACAGACACCGGCGACTGGTCATTCAACGCCACGAGCCATCTCTACTGGACCGAGCAGGAGAACTGGGATCCCATCCCCAAAGACAAGCGCGACAGCCGCGACGTCATCAAGGCCGCCGCCGACGCCTATCTCAACCAATGGGGCAACACCAGTATCCCGGTCCCGCTTGGAACGCCGTGCGCCCGGCTCGAGGGCGGTGGATACACGGGGGAGGCAAACCTGACTGCCAATACGTGCGAGATGGGGGCCTTTCCGGAGCCTATTCAGGTGGGGAACCGGCGGTACGTGATCGATGAGGAGCTAGGCGCGGTTGATGTGTTTGATGGGTTTCCTTGGCTTGACAGTGGGAAAACAGACGGTGATGCGCCTAGCAGCAATATGATCAGGGTCCAGGGGGGGATGATTCGTTATATTCATGAGCTTACTGTGTGTTCTATCCCTCAGTGCGGGAGATGAGGTTTAGTTTGTTGGGGAGAGAAGGTTTAGGACCATAGTCATCTAAGTTACCTTGCTAGTAGCTCACTCAAATCCACAAATACCAACACGTGCAGATACTTGGACGCATTGCATTGCACCATGGTCCGAGGGGATGGTGTCATTTCAGCCACAAGCAATGCCAGGGTGACGAGAATGCATTGGGGCGGGGTAAAAGCTCGTTCAGAAACCAGGGTCTTGGCGCCGCAGGATTGAAGCTACGATCATCTGCACCTGATCGATTTGGAAAGGCACCGGCATATGTCGACTGATACTGGCAGGGGATCCTGCGAGCCTTGATCTCCGCGCAGGGAGATGGAATCCAAGTGAGATCCAAAGCTTGATCCAAAATCTCGAATTCGAAAAGAGATCGAGAACAGCACGGTAGTTGATGCCGAGGCGAAAAGACGGGCACCGATGAGCCGCTCTTCGATGGATAACCTTAGTCCCGAAGCCAACAGTCTCGCCCGCTGCAAAGACGGACCTGGATGTTTTGTGCCAATATTTACTTACACTTGATTGGGTCCCTTCTGGCCAACTCGAGTAAACGGGTTCGGTCATATTAGTCCCACTTACGCAATCTGCACTAACACACCTGGAAATGCCCCGATATGCTTGACTACCCAGGGAACACTCCTTTGCGCTAATGCTTGGTGTCCCACTGCATACTGCTGCAGATCAATAAAGGGCGATCCTGAACCAAGATGTCCCAATTGCGCGCGCAAGGCTGGACGATCAAGAGATGACGACACTGCTCTACCGAAGTGCGCCATGCACGAACTCGAGGCCAAGAGATTCGCAAGATGGTGACAGGGGGCCTAAGGGGCTTTCAGCTCCAGGCCCCAATGAGATATAATTGGGATCATTTGGCGTACCCTTCGGACCTCTGGGTAGCGATTCACACATTCTATCGACTATCCCGAACGCCCCCACCGCAGCGCCGATATACTTGTGTGTTCTCCCGATAATTGCTCGTGCCAAAACTACCTACATCATGGGTGCCGACGGAAACGCCCATCCCAGCTCCGACCCCGCTGTCTATGACGAGTACGCATCCAAGTGGGCGACTCTGCCCACGGACGAGGAGGGCTGGGTGAAGCGGGCCCAGGATGTCGCTGCTGTTCTGGCCCAAGACGCCGCCGCGAGAGAGAAGGAGAACAAGTCCCCCAAGGCAGAGGTTGCGCTCCTGAAGCACGCCGGGCTGCTCAAGGTCCTTGGGCCTCGCAAGTACGGCGGCGGCGAGCAACCGTGGAGCGTGGCTTATAAGACGATTCGTGAAGTTGCCAGGGGTGATGGGTAAGAGTTCTCGCAGGACCAACATGAAGTTTGACAGTGGACGGACGCTCATGCGGATAATGCGACTTAGGTCCATTGGTATGCTTATAGGCTACCACCTTTTCTGGTCCACCACTGCCAATGTGGTAGGGTCTCCGGAGCAGGCGGATCGCCTCCAGAAACTGATCATCGAGAACAACTACTTCGTCGGAGGTGCTGTCAACCCCCGTGACAGTAACTTGACAATCAGAGCCGATGGCGACAACATTGTATTCAATGGATTCAAGAACTTCAACACTGGCGGTGTGGTGTCGGATCTCACCGTTCTCGAAGGCGCATTGGAAGGAACCGAAGACCGCATCTTTGCCATCGTCCCGACAAGCCAACCCGGCGTTGTCTTCTCGCACAACTGGGACAATGTCGGCCTTCGCTTGACTGAATCCGGCAGCGTCAAGATTGAGAATGTGCCGGCGCCTTGGACCGACGCGCTAGGATGGGATGCCGAGAAGAAGAAGCCCGACCCTGCTATCCTCAGCATCCCCTGGGCCTCGTTATTGATACCGACGTGAGTAGGCCAGACGACAATTCCCAAGATGCATTCTCATTGGATCCATACTGATCCTTGATGTCCAGTATCCAGCTTGTATTCAGCAACTTCTACCTCGGAATCGCACTCGGCGCGTTGGACTACGCATCCAAGTACACCACCACGAACACACGTGCCTGGCCCTTCGGTGGCGATGTGAGTCTCGCCCGTAGCTTCCTCAACTTTGCCCCTTGAATAGGGCAGTTGGCTAACATACAACAGAACAAAGAAAAGCCGACCGACGAGTTCTACATTCTGTCGACGTACGGCAACTTCCTCGCCCATCTCCGCGCAGCAACTGCCCTAGCCGACAAAGCCGGGCTGGAAGCCGACTCCATCTACGGGAAGTACTCCGATAAGCGCGACGGGCTCACGGCTCAGGAGCGCGGAGACCTCGCCGAGTGGATTGCCAGCGTGAAGGTCGTGACGACGGACACCGGGCTGCGCGTCACGGCGGGCGTGTTCGAGGTCACGGGCGCCAAAGCCACGGCGTCCAAGGTCGGGCTGGACCGGTTCTGGAGAGATCTCAGGACGCATACGCTTCACGACCCTGTCGCGTTTAAGAACAGGGAACTGGGCCGCTACCAACTGCTCGGAGAGATTCCCGAGCCTACCTGGTATACTTGAGCGTGTTGGCCACCTATCTTGATATTGATGGGGCTGGTAGCGGTATATGGTGGTTCAGAGCAAAGCATTGATTGATTCAACCTTCAACGGCCCTCGTCGTATGCTAGTCCACGGGTTACTCCTTCGTGTTGTGATTATATCCTTCCTCTCGTGTTTGGCCATCCAATCTTCTGACTTCTCGGGGTCATATTTCTGTGAGATCCTCTTTACGACGTCTTCCAGTTGCCCGCATCCTTGACACCTTTGGCAACATTGCCAGTACCCTCCTCCACCCCTGATCCAATATTCGAAAGGCCATCGCCAACGGGCTTACCGGCGCCTCCAGTAGCTTCGTTGGTGGTGGTGCCCAGGCCACGGCCGACGGCACCCACCACGCCCCCAACAGTGTTCGTCAAACCCCCAGCAACATTCCCAACCGTGCCTGTGGCGGTCTTGGCTGCTCCAGTGACGCCAGAAGTGGCATTGGTGTCCTCCTTCTTATTATTCATCGTGGACACGGAGAAACTCTGCGCGTGTGTGTGTGTGTGTGTTTATGTGTGTGTGTTTATGTGTGTGTGTTTGTGCGTGTGAACGACTTGTGATTCGTCTCGGATCCGAACACTTGTGATAATAGATACTCGAGGGATTATGAGTCGGGAAAAGAATCAGTCTTCTTTCCACATCTGGGACAACGATGATTAAATACCCAACAAGGGGGCAACGTCATGGCCCCACCACACATCGCCAAACCATTAGATAGATGACCACCCCAATGACGTTTCGAATGGTTGTCTAGGAGGGATATGGGCCTTGGAGCAAGGTTCTGCACTCTAAAGTCAAACCAATCAAACCATGTCTTGAGGAGATTCCAAGAGCAAATAACCTTCAGTGATCTGCATGATTGGATCAACCTCGGGGGCGGCAGAACAAATGAGGCGATTTACGTCATCTTCGACAACACACACCACGTTCCGATGAGCCTAGATCCCGGCAGCGGCATCATCAGCCGCAACGGTCGTTTAGCTTGCCGGAGAGTATACATATAGAGATATTTTAAAGGGCCCGGTGCGACTAGGTCGAGACTTTGCCGAGCAATTACAGAGATCCAGCCAGGCTTGCAGCTGATCGCGCTTCTTGTGTGATGCACATACTCGATCAGAAAGATTAGGGTCCCAATCAAGAGGCAGATTTTATCACCACCTCCGAAATACAGGGTCGAGCAGCAGCATATGCGATTTGATTTTCGGAGTGCCTGCATGAGAAATGTGCCCTAAATCTCGCATGAAATAACGTTTTCCCCTGAACGAAGCCCCAAAATCAAATTATTTGATATGTTCGGTCGCTTTGGCGCGGCAAGGAGGCGGCGCAGCAATTACGCCCGGGGAAACAGCGGCTTGCGCCGCAGGAAGATCAAACAGAAAGGAGCCGAACCCCTGCACCAACTTGGAAGCGCCACCTACGGAGAGCCACGATATTGGCGTGGCGTGGCTCCTCATGCAAGGCAGAAACCATCGCCGTGGCAGGTCCCTGGCATTTGTGCTGCGGTAAGGGCTCAAGTTGGGGGCTGTTTCCAACCAGCAGACAAAGCCCCTACATAATTAGTAATTATCAACTATATGAAGGCCATTGCATCCAGATCTTGGCCATGGCTGAACCTTTTCGCCCCATTCTTACGTGATACTTTCATTGCCAACGTCTCCTCCCCTCCCATCAAGTAGTATTACAATGGGACTTGCCGGTGTCGGGGATTCCGCCACCAGCGCAATCGGCGATGTGGCTGGATCTGGGCTAGATCCAGCCGCCAAAATCATCCTTGTTATCCTGATCATAGCTTTGCTCGTCATCGCAATTATCGTGTGGGACTCGAAGAGGCGGAACGAGAATCACGGACGAGGAGACGAGGAAGTTACTGAGGGCGGCGGCATACATCCTGACCAATGGAGTACACCAGTTGTCGTCGCCCGACAACCAGGCATGACCGAGAGCGGCGGCATACATCCTGACCAATGGAGTACACCAGTTGCCGTCGCCCGACAGCCAGACATGACCGAGACGATCAGAGACGCCAGACGAACGAGCCTGAACAGCAGCACTTCTTCGGTAGATCACCATCAGCCGGAAGACACGGTCTCGCTGCTTGGGAGAGAAGACGCAACGCGTGGCGGCAGATTAACGGCCCCTGACCCGGTGGTAATACCGACTTTGGGAACTCCTCGCAACTTGCCGATTATTTACGTGCCGCCATCAGCAAAGGACAGCCGGGTCAGGAGGGCGCCATGGCATTGAAACGGTATTGGGCGACGAGGAATCATGGTCGTTGTCGCCTGTAGGGATGCCTCTTCAACATCATGACGACCACCGCCACATTTGCGCATCGGACTGGGTACGGGGTTTTGGGGCGTTGGACCGCTTGAAAGAATCGAGCTGGGATGGAATTAGGCGCAGCTTTTGCACAAGTCCCTTGTAAAATACAACCTGTCAAGTTCTCGACCTCTCTCGTTTCCCCCTCCACTGCGGGTATACTTGAGCCACAGTCCTCTCTTGGCTGAGAGAGACAGCCATCCGGCCATACTGGAAAGGGGAGATAAACATCCCCCAAGAACAGATGTTGGCTCGTGTTTGCCCCTTTTTCATCCACCAAGCCCCGGCACTTCCCTGGAGGAACCCATTTCTCAAACGACACTTCCGTGTGAGCCATCGGCCAATGAGTCTGACCTCGAGAGGGATACAGTAAGTTATAAACATCCCAAAAATGGCCATATAATGATATTATTCAGGGGCAATGAGGGCTATTCCTAAGCTGTTGGATGTCTCACGTCCATATTTGCTAATTACGCATTAAGCCCCGCAGAGAAACGTGACCCAGATTATACGTGTCGCAAATATGCAGCTTGTTGGTCGGCGGCAGCCTAGGGTCGTAAAGGATATGGTGGTCTGCTGGTGTGGCGCCAAACAGCGGAGAGAGCCTGCGCTTCCAATCAACAGAGGCTTTGACCTTGACGCTGCTGTGAAAGGGGAAGTCATCTTCCCTCCTCAGCAAGACGACCGCCCGAAAAATGGTAGGCACCCCCGCTGACGTATTTTCCATCAGTGACCACCGTGCTACATTCGGGGGACCGTGGATGCGGTTTGTGACCTCGGTGGACCCTACCACCGTCGTACCGTGTTGCATCCCTCGAGTAGTGGTTCTTTTCAACTTGTAGCCGGACTTTGCTGCCCAGTTGTCGGCCCCCTCACCCCCTATCATGACGTCTGTCTGCTCCCTCGGTTCCAGCGTCCACCTCCCTTTGGGCGCGATTTCGAAGACGTCGAGCTCAGATCCTATCTCATCTCCTTCGTAGACGAACTGGATATCGACTTTGGCGATACGGCGCGTCCCTTTGTGCGAGTCAAACTGGAACTCGTAGACGATCAGAGAGAGGCAGAGTCGACACCATGTTTGAAGTAGCCGTGGATAACGTCCTTGGCCACGCAACGGATGTCGACGACCCCTCGGCCATCTGTGATGGTTTCGCGCTGGAAGCTTGAAGATGCGTCGATCCTGGGTCTGAAGTCACCCTCCTCGTCTATGTCCTCGCTGAGCATGATTTCAGCCATGACATGCTCGTCTTCCATTGGCACCGTGAGTAAATTTACGTTCTTCAGTACTTCCGTCTCATCCATATCCGGAATAACCCTAGAAGTGACAAAAATGTTTGGTTGCCACGCTCCATCCTGAAAGCTCTTAAGCTGGGACAAGAATACGGCTCGGTCGAAGCTTTCACATTCGTCAAGAGCGCCTATGACAAGAAAGACCCTTGAAAACAGCGCCATTACAGTCTGAAGACACTCAGAAGTCTCAGAAAACGTTGGTCTTCGCCCTAGGCTTTGCCAGCGCAGCCTCTTCATAGCGCCTCCCAGGACCCCCTTTGCTCGATATGCAGTCACCTGTTGGGCCAGCTGCACCAAGAGATTTGCAAAGATCTCACTTCCGCTCTCCGACCTATGGAGGTCAAAGAAGATGTAGGCGAGGCCAGCTGCCCTGTCTTGCCCGAAGCGCAAAGTGAGATCGTCGATAATCACCGAGGTGAGAATTGTTTTCCCGGCCCCGGCAAGCCCTCGGCAGAAGAGTGTCTGCCCACGGATGCTAACCAGAATTTGTAGTCCTGAGACTCGAGGAGAATAGGGAAACATTTCAGTCCAGACCTTTCCATCCGTCTCATTGCTCTGCGGGGGGGAGTCTGCCCACAGATCATCGTCCGAACTTTTGGCTTTGTCTTTGCAATCGCAATCTTCTTTATCGCAGACTGTGTTGAAGTCGGATGGCTCTCCGATATTGCTCTGACCGGCGCTTCGTCGACGGGTGACAGCGGAGATCTTGAGATTGTCGTCTTCGTCGAGGATGTCTTCGCGGTACGGGGGAAGGAAGAGGGCCACATCCTGCATGTGCTGTTTAATATGTCTTCGCAGTTCCCCTTGGGCTTCGGGGGTGTCCCGGTCGCGGAAGCGCTTCTCAACGACATCCGGATAGCCGCCACATAAAGGGCAGCTCTCAAACAAGAAAGCAGCCGATAATTCAGGAGCCAGAGCCTGCAATGTGGCAATTGAAGCTTCTTAGCCGGGTCATCCCCGTGTTCGGGGCTCTCGCCAAAGAGTTCATAGAGGACGACAACCCGGATACGAACCTATCCGCCGACGCCCATGACTACTATTCCGACATCGTAAATATAGGCTATATCTTGTCCATATCCCGCGGAGAGTGGGCTTCTGGCGTGAGGGACGAGGTGGTGACTAGGCTGTTGGCAGCTTTAAACACCCGGCTCCCTTCGCAATGGACATTCTTTAGCGTTGTCACGCTGTCCCCGGTATGTCTATCTCTTCACTTTTGCGACCAGCCGCCTGACAATGCATAGGGGCTCACTGTTATCCAGGCGTCTGCTATGGAGCAAGGCGAAGCGGAGCAATTTCCAGCGCTTAACGAGCTGTACAACTTGACCGAGTTGCGTGGTCTGGGAGGCTTCGACGAGTGCCTCGAATTGCCGGGCCAGCCAAGCGAGCGCCGCAGGCAGTACGTGGAGCTCGTGGGCCGCGGCGTCTCCCTTTTTCACAAGACCGAGAGGCAGTCCAATAAAAAGCGCGACAAATTCCTGCATCGGGTCAAAGAGGCCAGCAAACATCTCTTGGACGTCTACTGCCGGGATCGCTCTGGAACCGATGCCGGCGAAGAATTCGGCCTCTCTCAGCATCCCAGCCATGGGATAAAGGATCTCGCCGACAGGGTTTACAGTCTATTGGAGCGGCACTGGAAATGCCACTGCGCCCAACGAGCAGCCAGGCCTTCCGGGGCGAGAGAGGCGAGGCTGAGTCTGATTAGGCACCGCCAGTTGGCACCCAAATTGCCACTGCCGGAGATTAGGGCGCAGAGCCATCACCCGGCCAAGTTCGATGTCCCCTTGCCTATCTGCAAGGGCAGTGTCGAGTGGAAAGTGACGAATGTTGAAGTCAAGCAGACATGGTGAGATGGCAGCCTCGCGAGGCCTCTTCAATCTCGGCGTCTTACCCGTTCTCTGACAGTGGCCCCTCGCCCATACCACTCAGCAGTGGACACTCAGCTGTGGACACTCAGCTGTGCCTTTGCCTTTCTCTACTCTCTCTCTCTCACGAAAATCTGACATGTCTGCCAAGGTGTGTTCATGTCAAGTCGACTGCAACGCTGACCCCTTGCTATGTCTCTCGCAAAACTTAAACGGTTTGAGGCTCCTAGACATCACGACAGTCACACACCATGCACACCCACTGCACAGGTTAAGCGGCAGAAACACCGGCCCACTCACGAATATGGGGAGTGCTGGTGTCTAGATTAACATGGGATAATTAAATGTTCTTCCTCTTCCCATTAAGGGCTATTTTCTCAGTGTCCTCCCTTTTCTGTTTCCCCTCTCTCCAACATTCCGACTCGGTCAGGGCGGCCAAGCTTGGGAGTAAAGGTGCCCAGAATCTGGGCAATATGTGATATTATGTGCGGGCTATAACAACAGCTGGCGTTCGCCTACTCGCAATGCCGCATGCACCCCGGACTTTCTCTTTACCACGTACGACTAGTGATTGAGCGGCACCCGATAATCCATGTTTCAGTTAGCGACCGGCATTCGCCAAACGGTAAGGTAGTGGCCATAAATTGTTTCGTCCACCATTTCAACCTCACGCGCTCATTGTTCCTGGTGGCTAAAAACAGCGCCTTTACGGCGGCTTGGCCACCCAACCGGGTGATAGCTGTCGTCTCCAGCGCCAATGAATCCCATTACGAAAGTGAAAACCCCGGAGCAGGTCCAACGCCAAACAAAATCCTCACTGTGCCCTCGCTTGCAGTGAGTGGTTCTAGAACCTAACCCCGGGTGAGATAATTTTCCTTGTTAATTATACCAAGAGTTTAATATGTCTGATGGCACGTGCAGGTCAGGAGCGAGGGCCCAGAAGGGGGATATAAAAGCAGGGGCAACTCGCCGTCTGGGAGAGTCATGACTCTCTGTGATCCAGGTTTCAACCCAGAGATTGGAATAAGCTTGCCGTGACAATGAAGTCTCTCCACCTTGTTGCTGGCCTGTCCATTGTGGCGCAGGTACTTGCCAAGCAAGCCCCGACACTCGAGGTAGTTGCGAGGCAGATGTGTAGCTGGGAGGGCCACTGCAGAGGTAAGTCTCCCCTCAACCCGACACTACCGCCATTATATTGACACCCCCCCAGGTGACCCCTGCCGTACCGAAAACGACTGCGACGGTTACATGACATGCGCCGCCGGCCGGTGCGCGAGCACATCGGCCGGTGGGGGACCACCCGCCACCCGGTCGACACGCCCACCGATATTCACGATCCCGACAGAACCAACGACCTCCGCCAGACTGTCTAGTGGGCCATCTCGATCGACTTCAACCAGGCCGCCGGGTATAGTCCCTGGTCGACCAACGTCGACACAACCCTCCACTTGCGAGTGGACTGGCCATTGCATCGGTATGTCCCCTCCCCTGATCAGCCCCTCCCATCGTCATCAGGGCCAGGGGTTGTATTATATATATATATATGTGCTCACACACGCAACCGCGCAGGCGACGCATGCAAGACCGAGAACGACTGCGACGCCGACTTCATATGCCGGGCAGGGCGATGCGCCAGCCCGGATGAAGAGGCCCCGACGCAGGGTTTCCCGCTGCCCACCCGGACCACGACGATCCCGGTGCCGGTCCCCTCGGATGACTGTGAATGGACTGATCACTGTCTTGGTAAGTTCCATATTTTGTTCCGTCGCTAATTAGATGGACCATGTTTGAGGGGGACGCAATGCTGACGAATATGTTCACCCCTCCAGGCGACCCCTGCGCTGCCCACGAGGACTGTGACGGCGATCTTGCCTGCGTCGATGAGCAGTGTGCGCTAGTGGGCTTCGCTACTGTAGTGATCCCTACATTGCAGCCACCTACTGTAGCTATTCCTACAGCGCAGCCACCGTCCGCCGGATCCCCCTGTGCAGCTGGTAGTTGTGAGGGTATGTTCTTTTTCTCTTCGCGGCTTGTCTAGCCCTTGAATAAGCACCAGCCACTAACTCTGGAGTAAGTTGGGAGCTCCTGTGCCACTGATCGAGACTGCGGTACAGGCTTGTTGATTTGCAGGGACGGAAGATGCAGCCTGTGAGCCTGTGGTGGACGAACATCCTATTTTCGACAAACACCAGAGGGAATAAGAAAAAGGGCAAGACTGAAAGTCCTGAGCAGAGGTCTGGAGGTTGTAAGGCAAGAGAATTGGTTCGACTTGAGTTCAATTTGTCTTGGTTAAGTCATCTATCTATCCAGCCTTATCATTGCGTATCATATAGTGCCGCTGGCTTAAGCCGTGTAGCTTAGTTCAACGTCATCTTGTCTATCCGATATCTCTTGCTGGAACGGTCAGAACCAGACCACCCCTATCCTCGAAGGATGGCAAGCCACTGCAAACATAAGCTACATTTTAACGGATGCCCGGTGTATCTGCAACAAGTATTAGGGCATAGCAAGGCTGCTCACACTATCGATATGTCTAGAATTCATACGACTTAAAAGGCGGGACGAGGGATGTGGTTGCAGAAGTGTTGGTCCGTGAAGAATACCGGGTTAAGGTGGAGAAGGGTAGTTGATCAAGACGAAGCGAGGAAGATGTGAAGGAGGTCTAAAGTCAAGGTTCCATAGGTGTTCTTGCGCCCCCGGACAGTAACGGCTACGCTCATACATATGATATGTCAACCGCTAGGATCATCACTACATGGAATCCCGGTCGCCAGGCGCAGATTCTTTGGGCCCACAAAGAAGGACGATGTTGCAGAATTTCGATTCAAAAGGTCTTACAATTGACTAGCCGATTAAATCCTGAGTTTCTAAATCTCGTAGCGGTCCGTCTTGTCCTGCACCGGGCGGTAGATGAAGTAATCGAAAGAAGCCTGCAGCGCGGTTCCGTTCAGATCAGAGCAAGCCACACCGACAAACGCGCCAGTGAAGCTCCCATGCGCTTGATGGCCGCCACACTCGTCAGAGACGATGGACGCATCAAAGACGGGCCCAATCTTCTTCAGGGCCTCCTCACCCTCCAAGGCATAGAAGAATTGGAGGTCGTGTCCACGGATGGAGAGGGCCAGCTTCACTTTCCCATTCTTAGGGATCCGGACCGGGTCAGGCTGCGGAGTCTCCAAGTTGCTGCCTGGCCAAGATGCCTCGGAGCTCATTATGAGGAGCTCCCTCTCCCCGTCGGAATGTGCCGTCACGGTGAGGTAGAAGAAATTGAACCGGCAATAGTATGCCGTGAGACCGGCGAATTGTCGCTCATCGGAGGGAGAGAAGTCAACGACAGTCTCAGCGTCGTAGGAGAAATGGGTCTGCCGCCGCGCCACCAGGGCCTGCTCGAACCAGGAGCCGATGGACTCGCGGCCAGTCAGGGTCAACTTCCCGCCGTCGGTCGACAAAATGCGCTCCGGCTCCGGCGTCCGCAACCACTGGAAATCCTTGTGCAAGCCACCGTCGAAGGTGTACCGCTGCTCGGCCCAATACTTGTCGTCGGAGCGCGTTCCCGGAACGTCGACGTGAAGTGAGGGCACCGGGCCGTTCTTGACGTACAGCCAGCCGTCGTCGCCCCAGTAGGCCTCCTGGATGGCCGTCTCGCGGCCCAAGACGCACCGACGAACCTGGCCCGTGGGCCGACCGGTGAGATGTACCAGATACGTCCGTCCCTCGGGGGTCTCAACAAGGTCGCCGTGGCCCGCTCGTTGCAGAGCGGCGAATGGGGCATCCTTGGAGGTGAGGATATGCTTCTGGGGGTGGGTCTCATACGGACCCCAGATGTCGCGGGACCGGGCCAGAGTGCAGGCGTGTTCGTACGCAGTGCCGCCCTCGGCAGTCAGGAGGTAGTACCATCCATCCCGCTTGTAGAGATGTGGCCCCTCGACGAGTCCCAGGTCGGTCCCCTCGTAGACGTTCTTCCTCGGCCCGACGAGCTTTCCGGCCACGGGATCAAACTCCTGGAGAGCGATGCCCGCGAATAGGAGGGGACGCCGGCGGTGGTCCCACAGCATGTTGACAAACCACTTGCGGCCGTCGTCGTCGTGGAAGAGGGACGGGTCAAAGCCCGACGAGTTGGCGTAGATGGGGTCAGACCACGGTCCCTCGACGGTCGGGGAGTGGACGATGTAGTTGTGGGCGTCTTTGAAAGAGCCGTCCTTGCGCTTCACATCGGTGTAAACCAGCCAGAACCGTTCACCGTCATGGGTCAGGCATGGTGCCCAGACGCCACAGCTGTCCGGGTCTCCCCGCATATCGAGCTGGCTCTTGCGGTTGAGAGGACGCGTGATGAGCTCCCAGTTTGCCAGATCCTTTGAGTGATGGATCTGTACCCCTGGGAACCACTCAAACGTCGAGGTGGCGATGTAGTAGTCATCGCCGACCCGGAGAATCGACGGATCCGGATTAAAGCCGGGGAGGATCGGGTTGCGAACAAGCGGCATGGTGTGAGGTCTTGCCTGTAAAATCGGGGATGTGTTGTGATGGAAGTATCTGTACGGAATAGTCTGTATATGTAAATTAGTTAGGTACCTATGTTGTAGGTGGTGGTGCATGGTGAGGGGACCATGCACGAGACCCAGTATTCAATTTAGCCGACAAGCAGATGTGGGGTCCGCATCTCGAAACCGTCCGTGATTGTCGTGCTTGGCAGATAGGGGCCATCGTTTTGTGACGGGGATCCACAGGTAGCGAAAACGAAAAGAACAGAACAAGCGTTTGCCATTCGCCTGCACGGTGTAATAAGTAGAGCTTGTTGAAGGTGCCCTGCTCAAGGGGATGGAGAAGAAATTAAATAATATTACCACAAGTCTAGAAGCTGGAGTAACCTCGTCGAAGAGGCTAGAGATATCTGATCACGACAATTGAGACAATGTCATAATATAGGCCAACCATTTTCACTGGGCTAATTACCTGATAAACTTCTCATCAGCATACACACCGAACACTTGATCTAGGCCTTCGCAGCCGGGACTCCTTCCGCCGCCTGTGCAGATGCTGCAGATGCTGCTCCAACTGCAAGCAGGTTCGGCTGGCCAGGCGTGTTCTGCGGATACCGGGAGTTGAATCCAATAACGGAGCGGGCCTTCTCGAACGTCGCGGTCCTAATCTGCAGCTTCTGCGTTGAAACGAGCCAGAGAACGTTCTCGCTACAAGGCGGAGTAGTCAGGGAGCCAGAATAGCTGATGGGCCAACTTGTTAGCACGAATACATCCGAGGCAATTAGGGGGTGGGCAGGATATGAGCTGGTTACCTCTGGAATGACCCGGCAATCAACGTGTTAACTAGCTCGGACATTACAAGAGGCTGTGTCTTGACCGCGGTGCCGGGAGTGGCGATCTCCTGCGCCCGGGAGAGAACGGTTTCCAGCAGGTTGGACGAAACCCCAGCAGCTCTAGTCATGGGCAAAGTGACGAAACCCTGAACACCTCCGAACGCGCCCCCCTCTGCAGCTGCGGCCACCTCGGGGGCCTGTCGGCTGGAGTGCGGGTGATGCTGGCGGCGGAGCTTTGCAGCGGTTGGTTCGACGGTTGCTGCAGCTCCGGCTCCGGCTCCGGCTCCGTTGTCGAGGTCCACGAAGACGCCGATAACGGCAATCTCCCCCTCAGCAGACTGCCAGACCATGTGCATTTCCACTGTTTACAATCGACGTCAGCGTTCGTGTTCAGCTCTCGAAGCGATACTGGAGAATACTCACTAGCAATACTAGTTCCGTTGTCGAGATGCTCGCTCGGCAGGTGGAAGTGGAACTGCTGGAACTCGTATGTCTTTCCTCCAACCTTGAGCGTGCCACCCTTGCCGACAACCTCGATGGTGGTACCCAGGTTCTCGAACTCGGTCCCTTCAGGCATGTCGGCAATCGCAAGCTCCAGGTCGGAGGCGGATACCATCTGGAAGACGCCATCAACCATATCGATGGGCGACTGTCGGGTGCCGGTGGCGCACTTGACGTTGGCCGCACCGCCGTCCAATGCCGCCCAGTTCAAGGGACCCTGGGATTCTCGGGTCAGTTGGGCTATCCATTGAGCATCCCATGCTCGCCATCGATCTTGAGCAAGGGCCATTGGGGGGGAGGAGGTAAAAGAGGTCAGGGAGCACCAGGGTGTATCGTACGATGGTACCCGCATAGCCGAACGTCTTGATCTCAACGGCACCACCCTCCTCGGCGCGAGGGAAGAGATGAGTGCCGTACGCACACGACGCCCACACCCGCGTCGCAGACGCGGCAATAACGAGGACCGGGAGGGAAAATTTTGCCATTGCAGACCAGCATGCAGGGACAAACAAGAGAAGAGAGAAAAATAGGAAATGGGAGAGAGAAAGTAAATAACAGGTAAAAGAACACTACAACTTGTAGTGAGAAGAAAACGAACGAAACAAGAAATAATCGTCGGAGCAAATTAGACGTAAATTATCAGCACCGGACAAGTGGACGTCAAGGCGTATTTGGGTCCCCTCACCATGCCGCCAGCGTCGAAATCCGGTAGGTATCAATCAATGGCTAGAACGACTAATACCAATTACCAAATACAATTTGACAATCATAATCTGGCTGAGTTGCTGTTACGCTGGAATTTGCGACACTGCGCCTTGTTGCCAAGCAACAGCGGGAGGCATGCTCTTCCGCCAAGTGAAACAGGGGGACTGGATAGGCCAAATATGCGTAGGAGGAAATGACTCTTCAGTGATCCGTACACACGGGCTCCTTGCCAAGTCAGGCCGCTTTTTGAACCCCCACACCCTTGGCAGTAAGAGATGCTTGTTTTGAGGAAGTCGACGACGAAAGAGGCGTGCGATGAGACGCGCGCCCTGTCTCAACCAGCAAGCCCGTCCACTTGACAGAGAATCCGTTATCTTTAGACGCTCGGCGCCCAGAAGTTTGACCGTCGGATCGACCACAAGGCAAATCGACCCCGGGATTGTTATTTCTAACTCTTTGAAGCGTCGTCCAGGAGTCCAGGCCTCCAGGGTCGAGCCTGATTTTGCGGCTGACAATCAGGGCGGGCCTGGGCCTTTTGATTTGCAACCTTATTTCTTCTCATTGGGATCAGCAAGCAGCCAGCATCCGACGACTCGTCCAATGGCAGGCTCTGGATTTCGAGATATCTAACCCCGACTAGGTACGTATACCAGCCACCGACCACATTTTTCCATGGCCCCTGAGCCATTATCCCGTATTTTCCCGTCGCAGTCAATGATGGCGGGAATTCCATTTTGCCCTTTTCCTAAAGATACCACACACTGTTCTTAGCCTACGAGGTCGGCGGTCCCGAAACAGGACGGCCCTTACGCTGTTCAAAGCGACTCCATATTTAAAAGCTGTAGGGGAATGCCGACTTCGAAAAGGCCATCATCACCTTCCGCACACGCGAGGCCGCAGGCGGACACGGAGTTGCTCGTTTCGGCCAAGGCATGGGACCACGATGGGCTCCTGGAGACAGCTGCATCGGGGTTCATGCCTTCCTTTTCCTCCACCTTCTCATCCATTGAGAACAAGTCGTCCGGTTTCGCATCACCGCACGAAGACGCGGCCGCTTTATACCGAGGTTGATGCGCATGCTCACCGTCCGTATTCCCAATGTGTCTGTCTGATGGGCTGCGTAGTCTCTCCATCCTCGAGGAAGTGAACCACCTTCTGCAACATAGCCTCTTAGGTGAGAACCAGATGACACGACACACCTACTCAAGACTGGCCGACACCCGACACGCGCTGCAACTTAGCATGAGATACGGCACAAAAGCTCCGACTGCGCTGGCCGGGGAGATCTGGGTCCCGGCCGTCCATCCGGGCTCAACAGACACGTGGATGCGGGGGGGGGGGGGGGGGGGTCAACCGCAAGCTCAAGATGGGAGGGGGCAAGACATAAAAAAATGGGGAAAATATTTTATTAAAAATTAGGAAAGGCAACCCCCCCGCATAACAACCGCAGGCCC